GTGCGGAAGGCGTAAATGTTATCTCGCCCTGACGCACTTTATTACTATACCACGCTGTCGTAATTGAACTGTCTTCGGCCGCTAGTTGTATCGTCCGCACTGACAAAACTCGTTCGCAAATCCCTGAGACTGAGTTATAGAACCCCTGGGGTTCGATCGAACACAGGTTAACAATGTTGCGTTCTGCGCACCCCCCCCCCCCCCGCCTCTGGGCCTACACCTCCGATACTCGCGAATTTCTGATAGAAATTCCATCAAAACCGCTTAAGGGCAGGTTAAACCCCCAAATTGAAATTTAGGTGTTAGGACTTTTTTGAGTGATAAGGAAGTTGTAACTAGCATAGTATATGAAAAAAATGCAAAAAAAAATCACTAAAAAAAAATCAACTCAGACAGATCCATTTCTTACAAATATGCAGACGACAAAACATAAACAGACAGACAACTACATTAAAAAAAAATGAAAAGGACAACTTTTCAATTAGGACACGCTTTACTCACCCCTTAAACTAGTTTTTTTGTCCCCCCCCCCCCCCCTTCCGGATTCCAACACTTTCATTTTACCTTAACCCCTTTCACTGTTTATCCCTTTAAATTTTGTATAAAAACATATATAACAACATAAAAAAGTACACAAAACCAATGGCTTCATCTTCCAATTGTAGAATACGAAGAAATGAACTATTTCATTAAAAATTTGATTTAGATGTATATATTTTGGGGGCTACTTATCGAGACGTAATTTATGAAATTTATACAATTTCCTCGACCAAAACTAATACAAATTACTTAAAAAAAAAACAGCATAAATGCCATTGAATAACCAGGTTTTTAACAGAATCACTTAAGTCTTTTAATCAATGTGTGCATTTAATATGGTGTTGTGTCGACTAATTATGTATATTTTGTCTATTTATTTATTTCTTTGCTTTTTCACTAATATCGTTAAACCTGTAGTAAAGCACATTGCGTTTTGACCACAGATGGGTAAAATATTCTTCTATAAAATGTATAACATTAAAAATATATAGACCTATAATTCACGTGTAACGGGTACCGACGGCTAGTTAATAATAATGGGCAACATCTGGTTTTTTTCAACTTGTTATCCAGGCTTTGCGACCTGATTTCCAAAATTCCAAGGCGCAAACATCCAATAGTTTAACAGACACATGACTCTGTAGGACTTCGATGGAAAATAAAGTCGAATTGGGCCGCATTTTGTTATTTTTCCAGGCCGCTTGAACATTCCAGATCACCTCTGTCAAAGTGCAGTTTCTTCCAGGCATCTCTTCGGGGGGGGGGGGGGGGAATTTTTTCAAGTGCCCCCCCCCCCCCCGGAGGAAAAAAGTCTGGAAGAAACACAGGTCAAAGTGGTTGGAACTCCCCTCTCCCGATAAACACCCCATGCCCACGTTACTCGAAAATGACTAGACATCTAGATCTAGAAAATCTAGATCTAGAAAAGCTAGATCTAGAATCTACATCTATTTACGAAGAAAACAAAAGAAAACAAGTGTGGTAATCAATCGCTACTAAGTCTATTAAATTTTAAAGAAGTATGTAGTTTTCTAGAAGGATTATTTGGTAATTTAAAAGTTAACATTTACTATTCAATTATTTGTACAAATGTAGAAAATAAGTTATTTAAAAAGTAATTTTTAGAAAAAAAATCTTCTATGGCGGCAAACTTTTTAATATATCTCATATCGATTCAATTTGGAAATCGATTACTATTCCGTTTGTCAAGTAGTTTTTATTTTCAGTAATTTCAAATGATTATAATTTGTAATAAAATCTTTTTTTTAATATAATATGTAATTCAAATATTAGTAATTGTTTGTCTCTGATTAATACATTTATTTATAAACTTCTTTTCCTGCTAGACTATAAGTCATAAATTAACTATATACCTAATTAATTATAGTATCGCAACAGAAACACAATTTGATTAAAGAGCAATAACTCTTTGTTTAAGTGTCTACCCATTTCGATTTTCGAAAAGAACAATCCGAAGTCTGTTGTTTTTACGACTCACTAGATCTAGATCTACAACTTGACTCTTGATCTAGATCTAATCTGAGTTTCTATTTCTTTAAACGGTTTAGTGAGCCTATTTGTAATGAACGAAATAATTACTTTGAATTAAGACTAGATCTCGCCAAATAAATTGGTCAACCATGATGATGAATCATTGCCATGATTGCTTTGTGAAATTAATTGATGTTGTGCGTGCGAAAGAATCAGCAGTGCCAGCAACTCAAACAACTTTGAAAAAAAAAGTTCACTTTAATGATAATATAAATATGGATCTGTTAGATCTAGAAACTTTAGAAAGTAAAAAAATTAATTTGCAGGATGCAATAAAAACAGATAAAAAACAGAACTATGAAAATAAAAGACCAAAAAACACAGTTAAAAGAAAAAGGAGGTACAGTTCAGGTAAAGGCAGAAAAAGAAATAAGTCTGAAATTAAAAAATCTCCAGATCTCTCGTTAAATCCCTATCAATCAAATAACAGCAGAGCTAAAGATGAACTGGACACAAATAAAAGTACATGCATGACATTACATGGTTCAAATTTACCAACCATGAAAAACTGCTTTGTTTTACTCAAAGACATTTTGACTGAGTTGAACACTACACATGACCTACCAAACTCTGATATTTCAACAGGATCCTCAGATGTAATAAAAGAAGATAAACTTAAAAATGAAACTACCACATCAAGTAGATCTACACCTGCTACGCTTTTGAGTCCAAAAGTCAAGGAAAGTTTCCATCCAAAACGTCAACTTACACTAAAACTTTTTAAACTAAACAACACTGATATAAGTAATATCATGGACAAAAAGGAACACAACATAAAAAATAAAGAAACTAATGTAAAAAAACAAAAGATTACTCCTGTTGCAAATACAGTACTTACTGAAAGCACAAGCGACTCTTATGTTCAAGGTAACCAAGGCGAAGCACCTTTTGAATTAATTACTGTGGAGTATATAGTCTCTGAAGACCCCACATTTCATGGAACCATTGTACAAATAGTTGACTCATGTGAACAGGATATTACTCATAAATTTATGTCTCCCCATGATGCTTCAGATGAAAATACTGTACCACTGATATTAGGACAAGCCATTTTGTAATTTTTTTTTCTCACTTGAATTTTTATTTTAGTTAAAAAGTATAACTGTTTGTTTATTAATGTAGAATCTAAAACAAAACTTAATTATTGATGAATGGTATGTGATTTAAATATAATAAATATTTCTGCTAATTATTATCCATCAGTGGTATTTTTAATAGCATTTACATGTGTATTGTCAAGAAAATTTTTGTAGTAAATGTCACTAGAGTAAGCTGTTTTCCTAATTGAATAGAAGGGCTCTATTCTGCAAACTTTTGACAATTATTTTTATAGCTCTAGACAGTTTTTCATTTTTTTTCTCTCACATGACTAATGCTCTTGTCTGCTACCATAGTTGTCTTATTTTACTATCATTATATTTTTCTAGTAAACATATGAAACTGTCATCTTTTCATTAATAATGGAAGGAAAAATGTCATTAAAATTAATATTACAATCAGTTGAAACCTGATCATTCTTTTACTTCTGTTTTTCATTTTTTTCTCTCACATGACTAATGCTCTTGTCTGCTGCCATAGTTGTCTTATTTTACTATCATTATATTTTTCTAGTAAACATATGAAACTGTCATCTTTTAGTTAATAATGGAAGGAAAAATGTCATTAAAATTAATATTACAATCAGTTGAAACCTGATCATTCTTTTACTTCTTGATCCACAAGGGGTAGGCTTTTTGATAATGTAAATTGACCTTTTTGCATTAATCACTTATTGCAAATTAACATTCCAAATCTATCTGCAAATGTGAAGTCCCTATTTATAATAATTTTGCAATTAATTGCAAGAAAAACACAAAAAAAAAATATTTTTAAAAAAATCAACAAGGTGTAGGCCAATTTGGAATGCGCATTCCTCTTTTATATGTGAATCACCTATTACAAATGTACATTCCAAATCTTTCTACAAATTAATTTTACTTAGATTGGTGTATCTACATAAAGAAAATGTAAACACTAAGTCTAAGTGCAAACAATAGTGACATGCAAAATATCTATTTTGCCCTGTGTTTAGTAATTTTAAAATCTGGTTATTTAAAAAAAAGTGTATATTACTCCTGATTTATTTAAAAATTAAATTATTAGTTTTTTTTTTCACTGATGGTGTTCAAAATTGAAGATAAATTATTTTGCTAAAATCTTGGAAACCGTCATTGGTAAAAATTGATTGTTCAAATTAATTTTTTCAACAAACTTTAACCTAAGCTTTCACTGTTGAAAAATAGTACTTTTTGTAATTTATAAATGTTATTTTAGTATTGTTAAGCACTTTATTTTTTGTGAATTTTTTTTCATTTAAAAAAATATTTTGCTCTTTTATGTACCAGTATTTTGCTTTAAAATTAGTCATTTATAATACACAAAATGTGTACTTATCTTAATTTGTAGTTGAGAAAGAATTTCTGTAATTATCATTCATGTGAAACATGTTTATATATTTAGTTTTATTTTGAAAACTTTCAACTGACATTGTTTAATTCCACTCTTTTATTGCTGTTTTAAAAAAATTTCCTTGATCATATGTTTAGACAATCTAGTCACAAGAAAACCTTTATTGTTTGTTATTCAAAGTTTAATAAAAGAAATTTCATTAATCTTTGTTGAAAGATTTATTTGGTGAAGCCTTGGTTAAATTCAACACAAAATGCTTGCAAAATATTAAATGCTTTTGGTAACACATGGTCTGCAAGGATTTTGGACTGAATTACATTAAAAAAAAAACAACCATTTAGCCTAAATTTATTTAGATGATTACAGTGAAAATTTTGATGTTTATGATCTAGCCACAACTGTTCTACCTAGAGCTGCAGGTTAAATTGCTCACATAAATCAGGGATTAATGACACAAAATATAATTATCATCAGCAGCTTTATTCAGATTAGAGGCAAGTTTTCAGAATCAAACAAAAAGTCTTATTGTCGTGTCTGCACCACTAGAAAACACCCATGGCTGAGTGGGGTGAAATTTGCAGTCCAAAACAGATAGATGATTTCTGGTTTTATGCCCTCTGAGGACCTTCACAGTCACAATTAAAGGATTCAAAAGTTGGTCACTGAAAAAAAAATAAATTAATATTCAGATTCATTAAGGATAAACATACAGATAATCTTTCTTTTGGTATTAAACCAAACGTCATTTGAGTAGAATTGAGTAGAAAACAAGAGAAGAAACAAACCTGTAAACTTTTCCATGGCTGACAATGACAGACCCATCATCAGATGCAGAGGCGAATAATGGATAGTGTTTATGATAAGCAACCTGCCTCAAAGCTTTTTTGTGATATCTAAAATAAAGAAAAACTATAGCTAAAACAGGAATTTAACAGCCCATACTAAAATATTTTACATTAGTATTGTCAGAAGAATGAAATATAATTATATATTCAATGATGCTAAGATTACTCATTACTTGTAAATTTAAGCTTAAGTTAAGCAAATTAACTGAAAAAGAAGCCCTTTTAAAGAACTATTGAGAAGAAAATTTGGTAGGCATATTTTGTTCTTTAAAAAGAAAACTTAAGGTGTTTTAGAATTGAAGTATTTGACTTAATTGACAAAGCAAGATTAAAACATAAATGAAAAAATTAGCATAAAAATAAATCGACCAGGTAAAAGTAAATATTGGATAAAAGTTGTCAAGTAAGTCTAACATGGCCACTATTTTGACATTGACCAATAAAAAAATGAATTACTAGTACTACAATTCTATTTAAATATTTTAAGTTAAAGATGCAAACATTTATTCACTCACTTGAGTGTCTGATAAGGTTTGGTGGATAAATCAAGGTCAAACCAGCATAGTCTACTGTCATAACTGCCAATGATTATGTTGTCTCCTGAAGAACAAAGGAAAAGTTTAAATTATAAGCTTTATATGATTGTCTTCAATATAAAACTTAACGAGTGAATTTCTTTAATAAATATGCCCATAATGGGATTTTAAACTGGGTGAATGGCAAAAGGCATGTTGTTTACAATTAAAAACTTACCTCCAGGGTGTATATCTATGGAGGAGATATATTTGCAATTGGCCTGTAGTTTTTTATGTAATTCTTGTTTGACTAAATTGTAAACTCTTATATGCTGTTGTGTCTGAGGAATAAAATTAAGCATAAACATTACAAAAACACACAGATATTCTACATATTTAACAAGACATTCTTCAGTATGACAAAGTGTTTTAAAAACATAATGTTACCATAAAGGTAAATTTTAATACATACAGCAAAAAAGTTTATGTTGTTGCTCATTTTACTATTAAAATATTAAAATATAACATGATAAACAATTCATAGTTACACATGCTTTTCTAATACAACAATTGATTCAGCAAGAAAACAGTATACTTACTGCTACATAGAAATATGGATGTGCAGGATGAAAGATAACACGCTGGACCAATCCCTTTGGTTTAGAAAATGGAGCCTAAAATATATAGGAAAAAACCAAAAATGTTGTATTCAATAAAATAAATATTTATCTCTGTTTTCATTTCATGAGTGGCTACAAATAAAATTATTTCATCATAATACATAAAATCTATTCCATGGAATGTTTAATTAATTAACTAGTGACAAATACATTTTACAAGTCAAAAAATAAAATCCATAACCTAATGTAAATATCAATATTTAAAAAATTTACTTGAGTTTGTCTTCTAGACAGCTGGTGAATGAGCACAGCCTGACTTTTATTACCATCTTGCTGAACTGTAGCAAAGTAGTCACCTTTAATGTGCCATGTAAATTGCACCACATTCTACAGAGGGGAAAAATAATACTATTTTAAGTAACATTCAGGTCCCAAGATTCAGGACACATTGCCCTTGGAATGATGGGATATTTATATTAAAAAATTTAGTCAGAATACAGGTGCTATTTTAAAATGAAGATATAAAACACACCTTGCTATGAACTATCTTAATCCTCAATCCCTTGTCCTGTTCAATTAAGTCGTAAGTTGACCAATCAACAACAGACTTTTTACCTAAAGTTATTAATTAAAGAAAAAATAAATTATTATAATATTTTAAAGGAATAATACAGAGTTAGAGACTGTAAGTTACCATGCTTAAAATAAAAGAGCATGGACCATAATTATTTAAGCTAGTGATGATGCAGTTAAGCCCTTTCCTCCAAATTAGTTTCAAAAAGTGGAAAATAAAAATGAAAAATGTAATGCTCACCAGCATTATCACCATTGTCTTCAAATCTGTTGAGAGTGCTATCAGTAGATGAACATAATAGTTTGTCACCCAAACCTGAATTGATCAGGATAACATCAGTCCCTCTAGAGAAAAGTGTTTGAAATGTTAAAAAATAATAGTCAAACTACGAATTTTTTTTTGCACCTCTGGGTCGAAGCCTGAAATAGGTTATTGATTAATGTATGCACAAGTCTGTTGCAGTGAGTTTTTTTTTAAAGAACCAGTTTATAAATAAAATTTTTTTTTCCATTGTTTTCCCCCCCAAAGAATCAGTTTTTAAGTGTAATTTTGTAATTGAAATTTGAGTCCACCCAGCTCAGATTAGTGCTGACTATACTACCCTTTCGTATGTTGAGGTCAAAGAAACAGGTGAACTCTACTTCACTTGCCCCATCAAATACTTTTTCCAGCTGTGCAAACTATCTTAAAAATATCAAAACTATGTCAAACAAATTAGATCTATAATAATGGTTTAATATTTAACTTACACAACAGCAGCTACTAAATTGACATCAGGGTTAGGATTCCATGCCACGTAGGTAACTTTTCCACCCAACTTTAATGTTTTCATACAGCGGCCAGTGGCTACCTCCCACAATTTCATTGTTCCATCATCAGAACCTGAAGTATAAAATTAAACCCAGTTACAACAAAATTAGCACAAGATTTTAATTAATCCTATCAGCACATAATTTTAAAGGAGAATTGAAAAACATGAGTACAATATCAAGAGATAAACATTTCACTAGTTTCAGAATAATGTATTTAAACAAGACAAAAACTATCTCAATCAAGACCCATTTGAAGATAAAAAATATAGTAAGTTTTACCAAAATAGAAAAAATCTTTGAATTTTACCTGAAGCTAACCATTGTCCAGATGGATCAGGAGATATACTCCTGACCATATCAGTATGACCTTTGTAAACCTGAAATATCATATTCATTAATCTTTTCAATTAATTGAAGCAATTTTAATTAACTGTTCAACAGAAAATCTGAAGGCAACAAAAACATAATTTAAAAAAAAGACAAAATTCAACATCCATTTTTTAATTAAAAAAAAAAACAAAAAAAAAACAACAACTTGTCACTTCAAAATTCCAGAAAACAAGAAAAATGCTTTGATTTTAAATATACAGGTTTATATATATTTACAAAGCAAGTTGATTGAATAATAGAACAGTTCACTAAATAAAAACAAAACCAGTCTACAAGTAAAATAATTTCTCATACCATTCCTTCTCTTGTGGGATAGGGCTGTAAATCTTTCCTGTCTGGTCGTTTGGGGATTAAATCTTCTGGATTAACATTCATCTATAAAAATAATAAAAAAGTTATTTAGAATATCAAAATGTTTAACTACTAACAACTATCCAAAAGAAACAATCCCATAAGTCATCTACCTTCATTTTCCTCTGTCTCGATGCCAAGTACAAATCAAGCAGCCTAGCAAACCTTTCATTGATAAAATGGCTATATTTTGGTACAGAGCGGTAAGCTGAAAACTTCTGGGGCTTGAAGTTGATTCTTCTTTCTTCAGGCTCTTGTGATTCCCACTTAGCTTCCTGAAAGAAAACAAAATTATTATACAATATGTAAACATAAATATTGCTCAAAAATTTACTAAGCTATGTAATAAAAAACAAGATTTTTTTAATATAAATATATTTTAAAGAAAATTTTAATAAAAAACACTTGCTTCTTCTTTATCAAACAGATATTCTTCTGGTGGATTGTAAGACTCAGCATGTCCAGGCAATGGTTCTTTTGGTGCTGGAATATGCATCCTATATCTTTTTGTTATTTCAGGCTGTGAAGGATAAAAGTATAGAATACAAAGTGAAATAAATGAAATATTCGAGAAATGCCTAACACATACATAACCTAAAAACTTATATTCAACAAAGTTGAAGTATTATTAATGTTAATAAAAATACCTCTAGATCATCTTTCCACAAATCTAATGATGGTGCATTTGGATCTTGTGCAAGCTTCTGTTTTCTTATTTCTCCGCGGGGTTTCATCCAACCCATCTTCAGAGCATGTACCATTTGACCAACCTAATTTTAAAAAATTCAGCATTGTACATTAAACACATGTACCAAAAAAAAAATAGATTCATAGAAATAATATTGTAAAATTCAGTTGAGTAAAATAGTCTTCGACGTAACATATTTTGAGCAGAGTACTTACTCTTTGACGCTCCCACTTTGAAGGTATGAAACTACGCTTGTCTGGTGGTCGTCCAGTTACTGGCATAAGCATCACTTCATTGGAGAAAAAGTCAACCCAAGGCTAGACAAAAAAAGATCAATTAAACATAAATAGGGCTTACATATTGATAAAAGTAAAAATACATACACACTCACTTCAGTGGAAAAAAAAAATCTATAAGGCTAATAATGGGGTAAAATCTTTTTTAAAACAAACATGTCTATATAAAAAAGTACAAATACATTAAAAAACTTTTACTGAACCCAGTAAGTAATTTAGCTCCACTTACTGCATAAAGACCCTCAGAACCAGATGGATGAGTAGATGACTGAATCCTTTGTATAGTTTGGACATCCTTGTCACTAAGAACAACTTTTTGTTTGGTAAGTTTATTCTGTACAGTTCGCCTAAAAAAGCAAAGAACAAACAATGCAATGCTAATGAAATACAAACAATTATGGACAATGCTGGTTTTTAATGAAGTTCTTTGTTAGACTAAAAAGCAAAGTACGACTAAACACATAAAAAAGTCTCAGATCATGATTACGTAAAAAACATATTTTTAAAACTTAGTCCATAAAAAAAATGTTATTTAAAGTACTCTACATTTGAAAGTTAATTTTTTACCAGTAATTAGGGTCATCTGCTTTTTGCAAAAGCTCATCCAAAGCATCTCCTTGCTGGGGTTTGATTAGCTTTCTTCCTTCAATATCATAGCCAATATGAGGATAATCATCATACCACTCAATAGGAATATTTCCTATTGTGTTGCGAACATCCTGTGAGAAGATAAAATAAAGTGAAATGCAGACCAATTATTCAAATAAAATAACTAGGTAACATTGTTTATAATGAGAGTGGAGTCAATATAATCATACAATACAAAATAAAACGAGACAATACTAAAAATAAAATTAATAAAAACCATACTTCTTCATCAGATGAATCGTATTCATATTCGTCTTTTTGTTGTTCTGTGGGTTTTGTGTCCTCATCTTTGTTTTCAACATCTTCACTTTCATTGTCATTATCTTCATCACTGTCATCATCATCACTATCACTGTCATCATCATCATCACTCACACTGTTTTCATTATACTCTTCATCTTGACTACTGCTATCATCTGAATCACTAGCATCATCCGAGTCACTATTGCCATTATTTAGCTTGTCTAGTGAATCATCTTTCTTCTAAACAGATATATAAAAATGAGATTAAACAGAGTGAAATAAAATCTAGATATACTTAACTTGTATGATTTTAATTCTTTATCCATCACTGAAATTACATTTACTCAGCAAGCTCTTCAATACGGAACATAATTCATTCAGCCTGAATTCTAATTAGCACTCCCAGTAAAATAAAGTGGGAGAAGTACAATTATTACACACAACATAAAATAATTAAGATCATGACAAAAATATGCCACCTGCAGAAACAAGTCATTGTCATTTTGTTCATCAAGAAGTTGTTTCACTTTACGTTTGTTGCCCAAACCGGTTGAGCCAGGAAAAGATCCTCTTGCAATCTACAAAAAAAATGCACTTTAAAAAACAACAAATGATACACTGTCTTATAGATAGCTTTAAAAAAGCCTATGTAAAATTATCAAATATCAGATTACTCTTACTTTGATAAAGAAGCCACTAAGAAGAGGCTAATATTAGTTGCCCATATGAAGGTATTAACTATGTAAGTAAATATATTGTGGTACATAATAATGCTTTATGAGGCTAAGACTCAGATGCCAAATCAGTCCTGCAATCCCTACAAAATCCGGAGTCCTATATTCAAACACTTATGACAGCACTAGAGAGGCTAAAAAATACCTGCAGCAGAATTGTGCTGCAGTGGATCCCGGGCCACTGCCAGATTCAGGGTAACGAGATCGCAGACCAGCTGGCAAAAATTGGGGGAAAGAAACCACAACCGGAAATTTCGCTACACCCAAAAGAAATAAAAAGAATAATTAAAAACAAACAAACGCAAATGTGGTCTGTCACACACCCTCACTACATTAAAGACGACGGCTATTACAATTTAACACGAAAACAACAATACATAATCTTTCGACTTAGAACAGGCCACAACAGACTAAATCAACACATGCACAAAAAACTGAAGGTTGGGTGTAGCGAAATGTGCCCTTGTGGCAAGGCCCCGGAAAACACGGAGCACGTACTCCAGGAATGTACTCTGTATAGCCAGGCAAGAGGCAGACACTGGCCCCAGCCCACCCCACTCAGGGAAAAATTATATGGGACACCTGACAAACTGGAAACCACAGTCCGGTTTGTCCACAAAGTTGGACTTGTTGTCTGAATCCTCCACCATATTCAAAAATTAAGAACGAAGAAGAAAGAAGAAGAAGAACCAAATTCTAACTGATTGGAATAAATGGGATTATCACCATAACAAATGCCTTAGAAGCCGGATATGTTTTAACAAGATTTCTACATTTTTGCTAGCCAATGCCAACTTAGATTACATCTAGCACCAAGTCGGAAAGTGAGCCCTTCTTTAATTACTTTTAAAGTTTTATTAAATATATAGCTTTTTTTGCCAAGGCCTATTAATATATTTTATTGTTAAGCCATTACATTTTAAAATAAGAAATGAAATAGATATAAACTCTAGATGGACTGATGAGTCAAGGCTTAGCTTAACATTAGTACTAGTAGTAAAAACTAAGTAACGCTCCCCTTTCAGACCTTATGATCCACAGGGCAGGAGTTCATATGTTTCTTGACACTGACATATAATAAATTATGTAGGCTCTATAAAATGTGTGGTCAGCACTATGTACTTTACCTATCAATAAAATGAGTCACTGTACCCATCAGAATTGGGTGGACTCTAGGGTCATACAGTCACAAGTTCGGATGAGATCCAAACTTAAGATCTTCAGGCTAGCAGCTGAGTGCTTTCTACCATCCCACTATTCCGGCATAGATTTTTTATACCAGTGTTCGATAATAGAATCTTCTTAAAAAAGAGGTGTTAGGTTATTAGTATTTAACTAAATAGGCCTACACATTTGACTTGCTAATGTTAATGCTAACCCTTATTAGTGCCATACAACTAACCCTAATTTCTACACAGCATTTACACTTGTATACTACACATGTCTAAAAAAAATTCGCAGCAAGTTAGTTTAGTTAGCATACATTTTCCACAGGAAAAGTGTTTGTAACTAACACTAACTTACAGCGTGATTTTTTTTTCCTAGACATATTATATTATTATAGGCCGATAGTCGATAGCTTACATGTTGCAAGTGTAAATGCTGTGTTAGTGTCACGTGTGTAACCATAAAACTTGTCAACATTACTGTTAGAACTAAATTTCTAAGCCATTCATGATTCTAAATTTAATTTCTAAGCCCTAAGCCAAGTGAACCTAGATCTAGTTATAGTTAAACATTTCATTAACTTAAACTGTCTTATTCTTACTTAACTTAAGCCGCTTTAAGCGGCTTTATTTAAACTTTTTTTAAGTTTAAGCAGCAAGCCTAAGCTCTCAGCTGATTCTCAATTAATTTTATTAAACAATATCTATCAGACATCAGAGAGTAGTAGTACTAGATTTCTAGATCTAGAATTCTAGGACCTAGATCTAGATTTAACTCTTAAGTTTAGTTTTATGTCAGTGTCAAGTCAGATCAGCAAAAAATCATCAAAAATGTTACGAGAACTTGAGAAGTTACTCGTCAGTCACTACACTACACTACTCACGACTAGACCGAGTTAGTAGACTCACTAGACTATACTGACTCTTGTCTACTGAAAGTCTAGAGTAACTATATGTAAATTATTACAGATTTAGTGTACATTATTAGGGAAAAAACGATACGAGAAATAAACAAACATAAACTAAATCAACCTGCGCCATGCTCGTCTTCTAAATATAACCGCGGCCACACTAGTAACCGAAAAATGTTGAGAAATACAAACGAATTGATAGCTCGTCAGTGACCTGATAATAGAAAACATTTGAAAACAATGATGAAACCGTAACTAATTTCAAACTTTGGTACTTTATATCTACAGACATTTATGATAAACGCCACTAAATAATAGATATACTATCGGCAAGTGATATTCGTTATATTTTCACTAGCATTCGCAAGAATTAATTTCACCATCTTGAATGCAGGGTTTGATGAGTACGACCACGCTTTTCTTTTTTATGATAATGCATTAATGTCATCTAATGATGTGCTCTCTAGATAATTTTTTTGTTCGATTAAGTTTCTGGGGAGGAAATTAGATAAATTAAAGTCTATATTTTCAACCACCTTCCGAAGGCATAGTCAGAGGAGGGCGGGTGGGGCGTTTGCCCCGTGCGCCAAAATAAGAAGAATGAAATTAAAAAAAAAAAAAGCTAATTTCGATCTGTATTACTAAGAAAACATGTTGCTACTTGGTTTAACGGACTGAAATTAACTGTTTCTGCATCAATTATGTGACACCAAAATAAAAATGCGTATACCCCCCCCCCCTCTCACCCAAAGGATGCCTGAAAGAAACTCTAATACCCACAAAATAATTCCAAATCTTTTAAAAATGTGTTCTGAATGGCCTAATTGATGTTCAAGTTTTGAAGGTTTCACATACTCATAACTGAGAATACCTTTGCACAATACACGTTGTCGCTTTTCCATTCAATCGCAAATGGCATTAAAATTTAATTCAAGTAATTGTTTAGGGATGCAGTACTCTTGAAGATTAGATTCAGTCGTCAGCTTTCATGTAAGTTACGTTGGCATCCACTTAGAGAGCATAGAAAATGTAATAGCAGGGGTTGTTGTGTTTTTCCTTAAGGTGATTTTCCAGGCCTTTTTTAGCGCAATTTCCATTCTGGAGAATTGCGTTTATTAACTCGTCATTTCTGGGAATGGATGGAGGAATGAATGAATGTATGGATGAATGTGTGTCCGGGCTTTAAGTCGTATCTCCTCCTCAACGAAGCAATATCGATGACTAGTTCCAAAAGCAAATTATGTTAAGCAAGTTACGAGAATGAGCATAGGCCATAACAATTCCGGGTTTCTTTCATGTATTCCCGGAAAAGCCAAAAAACCTCGAAAAAAAAATCAGTTTTTTGGCCCATATCTCGGCAACCAGACCACTTAGCGACTTGAAACATGTACCAATCGATTCCTGCCATAATTTAGAACAATATTGCCGAAGAAAGTTTTCAAAAATATCCTATCGTTCGGTCACAAATTTTAAAATTACATAAACACCTACAAACCGATCGTTCTTCTAGCTTGAACGCACCCCAGCGTTATACGTCAGAGCTATTTTTAGATAACATAAGGAAATTGCGCATAAATGTCACTAGACTTTTTAAATTAACTTGTTTTCTTATATAAAGTAAACTACATTGGTGTGTCTTGATGTTTGGATGTTTGTGTGTGTGCGTTTTGTGTTAGATAACCTTGTTGCTTGGTACATGAGACGTCGCGGGGGGGGGGGTGTGAGGTGCGGACCGCACCAGGTGGACACCATTTTGAAGATGAGGGGGGGGGGGGGGGTGACACCGAGGTAAAAAAACTGCAAAACTTACGGAAGAATAGTGCTTGATCTTCATTAAAGTTCAATTGTCTCCTAAGTATAAAATGACGATCCCGACAAGTGGCAAAGGTGTGTGTGTGGGGGGGGGGGGGGGGGGGGGGGGGGGGAGAGTGTGATATTATTACATAAGCCTGCTAACATAATGTATATGTGAGCTCGTTCGCATTTTGACGCACTTAACTTTTCGAAAGAATAAATATGGTGTCATTTAAAAAAAATGTTTTAGCAAAGTGTAGTTTGTAAGGCCCGTGTTTTCTTAGCTGTGTTGTTCGACTTCGCCACAATGAAGCTATGGGACGAGGAATACCCGTAGTTAAATGATAAAATTTAGTGTGAGCAGAGGCGTAGCGAGGAGGGGGGGGGGGTTGGGGGGTGCGGGGGGTGCGGACCCGCACCGGGGTGACACCATTTAGGGGGGGGGGGGGAGGGTGACACCAAGGCAAAAAAATAGGAAAATATATAGAGAAAAATGATAATTACAGTTAATTAAGTGATTTATTCGAGTTTTAAACAGTCTTTTAAGAGGTGCAAATCGAAAGTTTGGGGGGGGGGGGGGTTGCAAATCGAAAGTAGAAACGTTTGTCCCCGGGAAGGGTCGCTACGCCTCGGGGGGGGGGGGTGACACCATTAAGTGCCGCACCGGTGACACCCGACCTCGTCCATTGCAATGCGGATGATGTGTCATCGTAGGTTAGCTTGTCCGTTAGCGTGGATGACCAAGCTGAGGATACCTGAATAAGAAAAGATCTGGACTTTCCTCCTCAGGCAGTTCGATCGAGAGAGTTGCTGAGTTTGCGGCATCTGAAAGGGGTTGGGCCCATGATTTCATTAAACCAATTGGGCAGGAGTTCAAGTGACTCCTCTCCCAGGCTCTATAGCAATAGAAAGAACATGCGTCAACGCGACTCCACTCAGGGGCGGAACTACCATACCGCCAGACCCCGCAATGCGGGGGGCCCAGGGCGTTTAGGGGCCCATTTCCGACCAAAAAACAATGAATTTACTTTTTCAAAAATTATGTTTTTCATGCATCTTGAAAGTGGTTTTGTAAAAAAAAAAAAAACAGGTCTACTATAGCAGAGATTGTTGCGTAGAAAAATATTTTAAAATCTAGAGATTGTTGCGTAGAAAAATATTTTAAAATCTACAAGAGCTATAGTTTGAAAGGTAGGCAAACATTCACACTACTTCCATGACTTACTGCCCTTCTTTAAAATAGGGATGCCCACAAAGCTCATTTAAATAGTTTTGTACTATGTATATTAAAAAGCAATTGATTCTCTGAATTATTATTTAAATAAGACGTACTAAACAATGGTATAGCTATAAAAATCTATGTTTACAAATTTGATATTATAAAAGCCAAAAATGAAAAAAATAAACATAACGCGAGAAACCATTCATGAATCAAGCTTACGTCTTTATATATTTTTGACCAGCATGTTTAGTAACATGTTTTCCTAGCACAAAATGAGTTTGGACTAAATTTGTCTGGTTTGTTCTCTCAGAATGGTTATATATTGCAATGAAGTAGACCAAATTACTCAGTTAGGATTATATATATATATTATATATATATATATATATATATATATATATATATATATATATATATATATATATATATATATATAGGGGGCCCTAATTTTTTCTTTGCGGGGGAGCCTTTTTTTTCTAGTTCCGCCACTGACTCCACTGCTGTCGTTGGTTGGCATTGCTTGCTGCATTATTGCGTGGTTGCAACACGCAGATAGCGTATTATTCTCAGGTCGTCTTGACTTTAAATTTGTATTGATAGACTTAAGAGCGATGATTTCCCGATTTGGCCACTATTTTTCTATTACCCTTACCACCATCGGGGTTTTTGCATTAGGCACTTCATGTGGTGAAATCGATGATCCCTCCCCCCATACATACATTATACGGGGCGGTGTTCATCTGGTAGAGGATTGGGTTGATCGCCACCTTTGGTATGTACGTGTCAATCAACAATTTAAACACATTATTTTACAAATATGAAAACAAAATCTCTGATTTAAATGCTCAAATTCTAGTAAGAAAAAACGTTTTTATTTTTATTTTTTTCGTTTTCAATTTTGTCTTTAAAAAAGTTTTGATTCAAGAATAAGTGACATCTTCACTGCCTATTGTTTTGATCTTTAATTATGTGTAATGACAGAATGAACGTTTGGAAAAAAAGATGTTTATTGTTAAAGATTGGATTGATTGTGATAATAATTCATTTTCATTTTCTTGTAGTAACCGTTTCCAACATTTCTTTATTTATCTGATTTACAGACGACGCTTCAGCGATGGTGGCGTTGGCGTCGGCTGACATCGATAGCACGCTGACGGCTAGCTGCACGAGATTGTTCAGGTCTGTCTTAGCTCTGGCCAGGGCGCATTTGGTGGCGGTTTTCGCGCTAAATGTGAAAAAACGCTTCTTGTAAGGTGTAAACAAAATCTGTCCACTCTGGAAGGAACGAGGCGTCGCCACAGACTTCCCAGTCGATGGAACACGGGACCAGGCAGGTCGTTTTACACAGAGATTTGTTGATGTCGCACTGCGCTTCTGTAGCGCCGGCACAGAGGATGCTCTGAAATCAAAGGACAAATGAAATCAATGAGGCAACTGCTTGAAGTACTAAATCTTCAAACAAGGACTGTAGTGAATATATATATATATATATATATATATATATATATATATATATATATATACTATATATATATATATATATATATATATATATATATATACACACACACACATACATCACATTCCCATGAATTACATTAAAAAAAACGTCCTCAACCACGTTTACATGTTGCAATATTTAATTAAGCAGCACGTGGAATAGAAAGACAACAAAATGTGTTACCCTATTGCTTGGTTGTGATGTGCGTTAAAATACTAAAAAAAATAAACAAACAAAACAACAGCAAAAAAAAAAAAACAATCTGACAAACACCGCCATTCCCCACCCCCACCGCCCCCACCCCCCCCAAAAAAAAATCAAACTACACAAAACAAAATAATAAACGCCCGCTAAGTAGTATAGAAACAGAACAAGAAAAAACTAAATCACAAAACAAAGAAACAAAAAAATAAGCAATACCAGCAAATGAAATAACAAACAATCTAGTTCTAGGCCTAATGGAGATTGCGTTTTATTTTATACGAGCTGACCCGCTGCGTATAATACGCCGCTATTTAGTTGTTTTTTTCTACTTTTCAGTAATTTATAATTTGTGAATTCGACAGTACCAATGCTGCCATTGAAAATATTTGCTTAAAAACACTAACCCCCCCCCCCCCCCCCACGTGAAAGCAGCCTCCTCTTAGTTACCTCCTCTAAGTTTAAAATCGTTTCAAACTAAATTATCTGCCCCTAATAGCCGTCACCAAACCCGTCTCTATGATTGTAAAATGTAAACAGAGTGAACACCGCTCACCAGATCATGTGGGGGTGGTAGTGATAGAGAGGAAGAGAGGGGACTGCAAAGGCGCGCTTGCAGCTTGTTTTCTAACTGATCCCAGAAGAGAATTATATATATACGAGCCGACTCGCTGCGTATCATACGCCGCTATTTAGTTGTTTTTTTTATACTTTTCAGTAATTTATAATTTGTGAATTCGACAGTACCAATGCTGTCACTGAAAATATTTGCTTAAAAACACTAAACCCCCCTTCCCCCCCCCCCCCCCCCGTGAAAGCAGCCTCCTCTTAGTTACCTCCTCTAAGTTTAAAATCGTTTCAGACTCAATTATCTGCCCCTAATAGCCGTCACCAAACCCGTCTCTGTGATTGTAAAATGTAAACAGAGTGAACACCGCTCACCAGATCATGTGGGGGTGGGGTGGGGGTGGTATTGATAGTGATAGAGAGGAAGAGAGGGGACTGCAAGGAGGCGCTTGCAGCTTGTTTTCTAACTGATCCCAGAAGAGAATTATATATATAGATAGATTATACGTGAACCCCATAGGTTTTGCTATATCTCATTTTGGACTCTGTATATTCAGAAATACCATCGATTGAAATTAGAACTAAATTATATTTACTAAAATGGCCAACCACTTTGGCCATTAGCGACCGTATCATATTTCACAGCAGTGATGCTCAGCATTTTGACGACACCGTTGACTAGTTTCCATAACGTTTATTAATTTAACTTTTTTTTTTACTCTTTTGTATAGATTATTCAACTTATATCACATACTTAAGTATTTTATTTCTAAAGGTAAGTAGCTCTGTTCAATTAAAAAACTCAGGAAACTTAAGAATGATCCATGAGTATCCTGTGTTGCACACATGATTTTACTGCGGTCCGGCTACGGCCCGCGGGCATGTGTATTAAAACACACCTGACCTACCGCACTATGCTGAACTCTTCACCTAGTTTTGTTTTTTTCACATTAGAGTACCGTTAAGTCATGCGTTAAGTAACACACTTTATAACACATACAGATACAACTGAAATAATGTATACTTACTCGCTGACACTAGATGTAGAATCTAGAGAAGTGGTTCTTAATTGGTTTGGATGGAACCCGGATTTCGGTGAATCAGTCTCAGGAGATCGACAGAGGTCAAGACACTCACCCGACTCATATGATTTACTTTCGGATGTTGTTCGTGTGTACGATCGAAATTTTAGAGTTATAAATATTAGAGTTTGGTGAATGCTCATTTGAAACTGGTGGGGTTCGGTACCCCCAAAAAGGTTAAGATGATCTAGATCTAATTGATGTGAAAAGACAATTGCATCCTTTACAACAGAGAAGAGGCGTAGCGACCCTTCCCGGCGCCCGGGGACAAACTTTCAATTTGGCGCCCCCTCGGGAAACAACCTTTCAATTTTCAATTAGCACCCCCCCCCCCAAACTTTCAATTTGTACCCCCCCCCTCATATATTTTTTTATGTTTATAATGCAAAACTGCAGCTAAAATGAGATTTTAATTTGTTTTTACAACCCATTTTGGCGCCCCTAAGACCGGCGCCCGGGGGACATGTGTACCCCCCCCCCCTCACTACGCCTCTGCAACAAAGTCCAGACAGTTTTAATGTAATGAATATAATCATTTAATGATATACCACTGTCTAGTATGTCTTCTTGTAAAGTTGGTCATATTCGTAGTTTTTCTTAGTCTTAATGTATCTGATTGCAGACTTAGTCATTTTGGTAATTTTTAAATCGTACAAGTATTGCATGCTCTATGAGGCCAAGGTCAATTTTTACGTGACGTGTATCCGACCACTAAACTAAAGTTTACAGTAATCTATAACTATTGAAACGACTTGGCTCTTATACAAAGGACAGCCAGATAATACAGTAGGCCTAGATGATTAGTATATTAAAGATGCTAGCACACTTGATTGGCGATATTAAAGCCTCATATAAAGCACGTTGATCAAATGATTGATATGAAACCCACCTTTGTAACTCGTATCAAATGACATATGAAACCCACCACTATAACACCTATCAAATGACATATGAAACCCACCACTATAACACCTATCAAATGACATATGAATCACACCTCTGTAACACGTATCAAATGATATATGAAACCCACCTCTGTAACACGTATCAAATGACATATGAAACCCACCCCTGAACCACCTATTAAATGACATGTAAGAAACCCACCTCTGTACCATCTATTAAATGACATGTAAGAAACCCACCTCTGTACCACCTATCAAATGACATACATGAAACCCACCTCTGTACCACCTATCAAATGACATGTATGAAACCCACCTCTATACCACCTATCAAATGACATACATGAAACCCACCTCTGTAACACGTATCAAATGACATGAAACACACCTCTGTAACACCTATCAAATGACATGTATGAAACCTACCTCTATACCATCTATCAAATGACATACATGAAACCCACCTCTATAGCACACATAGAGTTACAAAAAGTGTCACACAGAACATTATTCTTCAAGGTCAAGGCGGATGTTTCCCCCACAGTCACGAGCAGCAGCAGGCAGGCATCTGAGGACAAATCGAGAGACCGTGAGTCGTGTGTAACCTGTTCAGATCGTGACGAAATGTTGAGATTGTGACCTTACGTTGAGATTGTGACCTTACGTTGAGATTGTGTTGAGACTGTGACCTAATGTTGAGATTGTGACCTAATGTTGAGATTGTGAAACAATGTTGAGATTGTGACCTAATGTTAAGAATGTGACCTAATGTTGAGATTGTGACCTAATGCTGAGACTGCATCCTGATGTTGAGATTGTGACCTTACGTTGAGATTGTGTTGAGACTGTGACCTAATGTTGAGATTGTGACCTTACGTTGAGAAAGTTACCTAATGTTGAGATTGTGACTTAATAGTGAGATTGTGAAACAATGTTGAGATTGTGACCTAATGTTAAGAATGTGACCTAATGTTGAGATTGTGACCTAATGCTGAGACTGCATCCTGATGTTGAGATTGTGACCTTACGTTGAGAAAGTGACCTAATGTTGAGATTGTGATCTAATGTTGAGATTGTGAAACAATGTTGAGATTGTGACCTAATGTTAAGAATGTGACCTAATGTTGAGATTGTGACCTAATGTTGAGACTGTGACCTAATGTTAAGATTTTGTTGAGATTGTGACCTAAGGTTAAGATTGTGACCTAATATTGAGATTTGACCTAATGTTGAGACTGCGACCTGATGTTGAGATTGTGTCCTTATGTTGAGACTTTGACCTAATGTTGAGATTGTGTTGAGATTGTGATCAAATGCTGAGACTGTGACCTAATGTTAAGATTGTGACCTAATGTTGAGATTATGTTGAGATTGTGATCAAATGCTGAGACTGTGACCTAATGTTAAGATTGTGACCTAATATTGAGATTGTGATCAAATGCTGAGACTGTGACCTAATGTTAAGATTGTGACCTAATGTTGAAATTGTGGCCAAATGTTGAGATCGTGTCCTGTTAAAATCGTTATCTAATATACAGATTTTGACCTAATGTTCAGATTGTTTCACAACATTCGTTGAGAAAAGTAAAATATTTTGGTAAGTGAAGTTAGAATCTACGAATAAATGATGACTTCATGCTTTAAAACAAATTAAAACAAGTTTATATTTTTATTTTATGTCTCTTTCACTAAATTTGGCATAGTATCAAAATTGTATATTTTAAAAAAAATTATCATTTTGTTATAGGCTACGTATTAAAAAAAATCGGATTTGCGAACTAGATAATTTAAATGAAACAATTTAAAATTATTGACGTCGGTCTTCCTTCCTGCCACAGAACTTTCTAACAAGATGAAATGGATACGAAAAGCCGAACCAAGTCCAAATGTCAGCACGTAGGTGCGAGCTAATCTCGTCATGCGTGTCCACGTTCACTTTGTTGGGACTGTCTAACCAGGCCCTATACCTGTCAACCTGTCGCTCAGATCAGACTCATCACGTGACCAAGTGGGTTCCTCGGCCCACTACGAGAGAGATTATATGTAGGGAAAGAAATTAAATAAAAAAAAAATCCCGCTTGCATCATTGCGAAAATGATTTCTTGTATGACCAGTTTAATTGTTAAGGTTTAGTTTGAATAAAATAATTAATCAATGGTTTTGAGATAGGGTTTTAAAATACAGTACAGAACACACAACGTACTCTTACTCTTAATCTAACTCACATTGTAATCATAACCGTTAGTAAGCACAGACCAAGCCCTAGTCTTATTCCGATAAATGCAGGAAAAAGAACCCTTTGAGCGATAATTTTAAAAGAAATTTCTTAAAAAAAAAAAAAAAAAAAAAAAAAAAAAACTCTTTAGCCACAGTAATAATTTACGATACTTCTTCTTCTTCTTCTTCTTCGTTCTTAATTGTGAATATGGTGGAGGATTCAGACAACAAGTCCAACTTCGTGGACAAACCGGACTGTGGTCTCCAGTTTGTCAGGTGCCCCATATAATTTTTCCCTGAGTGGGGTGGGCTGGGGCCAGTGTCTGTCTCGTGCCTGGCTATACAAAGTGCATTCCTGGAGTACGTGCTCCGTGTTTTCCGGGGCCTTGCCACAAGGGCACATTTCGCTACACCCAACCTTCAGTTTTCTGTGCATGTGTTGATTTAGTCTGTTGTGGCCTGTTCTAAGTCGAAAGATTATGTATTGTTGTTTTCGTGTTAAATTATAATAGCCGTCGTCTTTAATGTAGTGAGGGTGTGTGACAGACCACATTTGCGTTTGTTTGTTTTTTATAATTCTTTTTATTTCTTTTGAGTGTAGCGAAATTTCCGGTTGTGGTTTCTTTCCCCCAATTTTTGCCAGCTGGTCTGCGATCTCGTTACCCTGGATCTGGCAGTGGCCCGGGATCCACTGCAGCACAATTCTGCTGCAGGTATTTTTTAGCTTTACGATACAAAATTAACATATTCAATTGCCCTGCTTGTCTGGCGAACATGTTCGCTCCTACATGCATGTAGGTTTCTGCGTTTGGGTAGCGAATTACCATAGTAAATGCGCGAGTGCTACAAAACCATTCACAGCATCAAAAACATGTCTCACACTATCAGAGAAGGGAGGTCCTACTTACACCGTTTCTATGGGAAAGATAGGTTTTCAACAGTAACATTAAGACTTTTAAGACGTTGATGACGATGGGGAAGGTAGAAAGATGTAAAAACGTCGAAGGGTGCTGTGTAAGTGGCCTGCGTTCCAATGGGGGTTGATAAAGGCGAAGAGTCGCCCATCCGGCGAATGTTGGAGCACACACACGCCGAACACAACAGTCACAGCTACACACATAGGTTACATCTACAGCATACATAACATCACTCATATAGGAATATACAAGCACACATTATCCAAATAAAAAATGTCTTTAGCATGTGGAAGAAAACTACTTACAAGTGTTAAGAATTTTGAAACTTTTTGAAAGATTAACTGTCATTCTCGCTCTCGAAGCTTATCCTAAAATTTTTACCTATGGAGTCAACACCTCGGGTTTATATACAAAACATCAGCAAAACAAGCCCAAAACTACTGTATAGAGCTGAATGATTTTATTTAGCCAATCCATTTGTAGCAGTAAAACCACCTACATTTTTAAAATATTCAAAACAACGTATCATATATCAGCGGCATAATCGTTTCTCTGCGTCAACCGCCTATACCAGCTTGTATCATATATCAAGCACCACGTTAAAATATGGTAACACTTAATTGTTATGGCGTAGATGTGTATTTATTAGAGCTGATGACACATGTGACTAAATTAGTACATTAGACAGATCAGGACAGAGTGAGCTGATGTAACTGTAACGGCTGCATAGAGGTACCTGGTAGTTACAGTGGATAACTCGTACGAAGTAGAGAGAATGGGTGGTTTTTGTGTTAGATTAAGTGTATCACAAATTGAAAACCAAAATTACGATATTGAAAATTTAGAATTTCAAATTTAAAAAATGGTTTCTATGGCTTCGAACGTACACCTTGTTTTCGAATTTCGAACAAGGATTCGAGTAATGAATCATTGTCATTCACTTGATTAGAGCTTGAAAACTGCAGTCCCATCCTACGCCAATGCTAATTAATAAGACCTAACTGTTATTGTGGATCATTCATCCTCTAATTAATTTCTTCCAGATTTAAATCAGCACACAAAGGATTGGTGAAAACGCCCATTATCGTAGAGTTTCTTCCAGGCATCTCATGGGGGGGGGGGGGGGGGGGCAGAGAAGAAAATCTACCGCACCCCCCCTGAACGAGAGGGAATTTATATAGTAAACATACACTTTTACTAGTGTCCGCCCCCCACCCCCCCCCCCCGTAAAATGTCGACCGCCCTCCCCCGAAAATATCAAGTGCCCCCCCCCCACTGAGGAAAAAGTCTGGAAGAAACACTGATTATCCCTCGACTACACAGACGCATAATTTTATCTTCATGGTTTAAATTCTACTTCGCTAATCGCTTATTAGGTATTCTGTAATTTTTTTGTTTTCAAAGTTGTGCAATTATACAACACAAGAATGGATACAAAAACATAATATGTCTATGCAAACCCAGTTAGGAGATAAAATTTTTGCGTGTCACATACATTTGTTAATGTTTTAAATACATTTAACTGTGTCAGACTTAACCATTTAAAGTTATTTCTCTTTGACGATTGGATAGTACAATCGTGTGTATTTTTAGCACACTTATCACAAAATTAATTTATTCTTTCAGTGTGCGATTTTTTAAAATGTCTGATCATAGTACACTAATTAAGTCTTCAAAAGTAAAACACACTCTATGCGTAATGTGTCAAAACGAGCACACTTAACAACACATTTTAATTGAAATGTTAGAAAGTACATATCACTAGCAAGGGACGTAAATTTGACACTATGTTAAAAATAAAATAAACCCGAGTCACATTACTAGATTAATCCCCAATTGAATTAGCCAGGGGCTAAATCTGATCGGCAGACGTGATGGATAGATCGTACGAGTCTTAAGCTGATGTCAGCTTCCGCTTATAGCAATAAAAAAAAATTCGGGGTTTTTAAAAAAATGTAAGTAAGAATGTTTGGTAAGCGCTAACAGTGTGTGCTTTGTACATGCACATGCAGGACACCTGGTTCGGATCTTCTGGTGGGGTCACGGACACAGTAAGCATAAAGTAAGTCAAAGTTTAAAGTAAGGCAATTTTAAAGTTAGTCAAGTTTAAAGTAAGTCAAGTTTAAGTCAAGTTAAAAGTAAGTCAAGTTTAAAGTAAGTCAAGTTTAAAGTAAGTCAAGTTTAAAGTAAGTCAAGTTTAAAGTAAGTCAATTTTAAAGTAAGTCAAGTTTAAGTCAAGTTAAAAGTAAGTCAAGTTAAAAGTAAGTCAAATTTAAAGTAAGTCAATTTTAAAGTAAGTCAAGTTTAAAGTAAGTCAAGTTTAAAGTAAGTCAAATTTTAAAGTAAGTCAAGTTTAAGTCAAGTTAAAAGTAAGTCAAGTTTAAAGTAAGTCAAGTTTAAAGTAAGTCAATTTTAAAGTAAGTCAAGTTTAAAGTAAGTCAAGTTTAAAGTAAGTCAAGTTTAGAGTAAGTCAAGTTTAAAGTAAGTTAAGTTTTAAAGTAAGTCAAGTTTAAGTCAAGTTAAAAGTAAGTCAAGTTTAAAGTAAGTCAAGTTTAAAGTAAGGCAAGTTTAAGTCAAGTTTAAAGTAAGTCAAGTTTAAAGTAAGTCAAGTTTAAAGTAAGTCAAGTTTAAAGTAAGTCAAATTTAAAGTAAGTCAAGTTTAAAGTAAGTCAAGTTTAAAGTAAGTCAAGTTTAAAGTAAGTCAAGTTTAAAGTAAGTCAAGTTTAAAGTAAGTCAAATTTTAAAGTAAGTCAAGTTTAAAGTAAGTCAAGTTTAAAGTAAGTCAAGTTTAAGTCAAGTTAAAAGTAAGTCAAGTTAAAAGTAAGTCAAATTTAAAGTAAATCAAGTTTAAAGTAAGTCAAGGTTAAAGTAAGTCAAGTTTAAAGTAGGTCAAGTTTAAAGTAATACTAAAGTAAGTCAAGTTTAAAGTAAGTCAAGTTTAAAGTAATTCAAATTTAAAGTAAGTCAAGTTTAAAGAAAGTCAAGTTTAAAGTAAGTGAAGAAATGCCTGGAATAAACTGATCGGATCGCCTGAATAAAGTAAGTTGGTTTACGCAAGGGAGAAAACTCAATTGGTATCTTTATAAAGTTTTAAAATAATAGTTTTATACAACTATATTAATAAATTATGAAAAATATTTTTTAATTAAATTATAATTTTATTTTTAAAAATACATAAGGAGTACTTGTTTAATTTTGTATGAAGCAACATTTAATTAATTTGGTACATTTAATTAATAGAAACCATATTTTTCTACGAATCTTTAATTGAAGTCGTCGTAATTTTTTAGATTTTCAGTAACTCTGGTTTCTCTTCACAACGCGTAAATCTTTCGCCTTTTACTAAAGATTTCCGTGGAGAGGAGCAAAATAATGAGTCTAAACCTCTATTTTTCAAACCCTACTTCTGTAGGGTAATATCACTAATGAATGATTGGTAGTCACCAAAATTAGCCATGAGGACCGTTTACATTGCTTTATGAGCTGTAGCTGGTTCTGTATTGCCCGCCGTGAAGGAATACTTTCTGTGTCCCAGCGTAAAAAACAAACGTGGCAAATATTAATTCACCGCAGTATAAACCAGACTGAGTGTTTGTTTGTTTGCGATTAATCGTGTTTTGTTATTTAATTTGATAATCTTTCAATTACTTTTTATGTCTAATTAGATTGGAAATATGTATTTTTTGCCTTGTCGTAGGGGATAAATATATCTAGAGGGTTAAAACGAAATTACAGCATTAAAAGTGGCTCAAATTTTATTTTTAGATAAAAAAGGTCAGAAGAAAAGACATTGTATTAACTACATAAAAGCTGGATGGTTGAATAAATTACTATGCAGCGGTGCATTTCTCAAAGATTAAAACAGCGTTGTTTTGATGATCGACTCATATAATACCAGAACTTGTAATATGGTAGGGGGGGGGGGGGGAAGAGGCGGACATTGTTAAAAAATTTGTCTAAAAAAATTCTATTTCTATCGGTGGTTGGGGGCGGTAGACTTTCATCGCTCCCCCCCCCCCTCCAAAAGAAATGCAATGGGAGAAACTCTGATTACCAGTGGAGTATGGAACAAAAGAATTAAACCGTCGGTGGACTGGGCACACATTCAGAAAGACAAGCTAACTACACCACATGACAGACGTTGGTGGGGAACCAATTTCAATTTATGTCACGTAGGAGATCATTTGAAAGAGAAATGTGGGAGGCCTGATTTTCATGGCCTGAGTTAAAAAAACAACAACAAAAAACAACAACTAGAAACAAATAGAGTTCGTTGTTAAAGAATCGCCTTGACTTTGTCCACCTTGTTGAGGTGAAAGAAACAATCAGAAGATTTAGCATTTTTATAAGTGACCCAGCTCTAGTTTACAAGCAGTTTTAGAATTAAAAAAAAACCCTTATTTCTTACTTATTAGTATTTAATATTTAGTTTCATATCAACCAAATCGCGTTTGCGATAAGCTACTTAAGGAATAGAACAGGGATTTCCAAAAGCCACTGTGGACTAGAATTTACGTACCTTTCCAGCAGATATACTTACACAGTGATTCTTTAAGACATTAATTTCCTTTAAACTTCGGTGTGTGAGGGGAGGTGGTGGAAGGGGGGGGGGAAGGGGGGCGTGGTGCGCACTTAAACCTCCGTAGGGGGGGGGGGGGAGCACTAATTAAAATATGTATTTTCTATTTAAAAATATATTTTTTTTCAAACACGACCGGACAAGATGCAAAGAAGAAACTTTGCTTGCAGATTCGTTGAGCCAGTAAAATCAATTTCGATACTTCGGGTTAAAACGTAACCCTTGCATTATATACAGAATAAATCGTAAACATAATTACCCAAATCTAACGCTAAATCGAATACTAACATTAACACTAACTTTAAACTAGATTAAGAGTACCATTATTATTACACCAGCTGTACGATTATGTGGGTAAGACTAAACGCCAGGACCGGTAACTTTTCTTGATTTCTTAGAGTTATGACCCTTTGTGTAGTAGTTCCTTTGTTGTTTTAATGCTGACTAATACCCTTGAAATACTTCGTCTCTAGGTGAAGTAAACCGCCGTGTTATTCGGTGCAGAGTGTGACGTCACACATCTGTGAAACAAAAATGGTACCAATGGTAAACTATGAATTTCTCCATGCATTCCGTATTTTACATTCTAAAAAAAACAACAAAAAAACCCACAGATTTTAAGGTCTAGATTTTTCTCTCTCATGTTTCCACCATCTTTTATATTGTAGAAGTTCTATATTACAAATTACCTTGAATGGTTAACTTAGCACCGTTATGTATTCTTTATTTTTAACTAATTAACGTTCAATCGTTATACCTTCTAGTGTATTGGGATTTTACATGAGAAACCTCGCCCTTTTAAAATCCTTGAGGCTCAGCTAATGGCCAACCAGATGAGACGCGATTGATTGTAATTAATTAGTCATGTAAAAAAAAAGCAATTAAAAAAGCAAACATGTTAAATGGTGTCCTTAGTTAGGGGGATCATAGCTGACTTAGCGCTGGGTTTATTTAGTTGAGGAAATGATATTGGTGGTTTAACCATCGTGCCAAATGACTAGTGCCTGGGTCGTTTAACCGTCGTGTCTAGTGACTGGGTCGTTTAACCGTCGTGTTAAGTAGTAGATGGGTCGTTTAACCGTCGTGTCTAGTGACTGGGTCGTTTAACCGTCGTGTTAAGTAGTAGTTGGGTCGTTTAACCGTCGTGTCCAGTGATTGGGTCGTTTAACCGTCGTGTCCATGGACTTTGTCGTTTAACCGTCGTGTCCATTGACTTTGTCGTTTAACCGTCGTGTCCAGTGGCTGGGTCGTTTAACCGTCGTGTCCAGTGGCTGGGTCGTTTAACCGTCGTGTCCAGTGGCTGGGTCGTTTAACCGTCGTGTCCAGTGGCTGGGTCGTTTAACCGTCGTGTCCAGTGACTGGGTCGTTTAACCGTCGTGTCCAGTGACTGGGTTGTTTAACCGTCGTGTCCAGTGACTGGGCCGTTTAACCGTCGTGTCCAGTGGCTGGGTCGTTTAACCGTCGTGTCCATTGACTTTGTCATTTAACCGTCGTGTCCAGTGACTGGGTCGTTTAACCGTCGTGTCCAGTGGCTGGGTCGTTTAACCGTCGTGTCCAGTGATTGGGTTGTTTAACCGTCGTGTCCAGTGACTGGGTCGTTTAACCGTCGTGTCCAGTAGTTGGGTCGTTTAACCGTCGTGTCCGGTGGCTGGGTCGTTTAACCGTCGTGTCCAATAACTTGGTCGTTTAACCGTCGTGTCCAGTAGTTGGGTCGTTTAACCGTCGTGTCCAGTGATTGGGTTGTTTAACCGTCGTGTCCAGTGATTGGGTTGTTTAACCGTCGTGTCCAGTGACTGGGTCGTTTAACCGTCGTGTCCAGTAGTTGGGTCGTTTAACCGTCGTGTCCGGTGATAGGGTCGTTTAACTGTCGTGTCCAGTGGGTGGGTCGTTTAACCGTCGTGTCCAGTGACTGGGTCGTTTAACCGTCGTGTCCAGTAGTTGGGTCGTTTAACCGTCGTGTCCAGTAACTGCGTCGTTAGCCGTCGTGTCCAGTGGCTGGGTCGTTTAACCGTCGTGTCTAATTAAGGGGTCGTGTTAGTCCATTAACTCTGCCAGATTAATCACCTTTTTGGTTGGCGTACGCCTTAAATCTAAAAAGAACTTATAGACGTGTCCTGTTGATTCATGTTTTTAGCTTCATGTCCTGTCGATTCATCTCCTGTTGATTCATGTCCTGTTGGTTCATGTCCTGTTGGTTCATGTCCTGTCGACTCATGTCCTTTTGGTTCATGTCCTGTTGATTCATGTCCTGTCGATTCATGTCCTGTCGATTCATGTCCTGTTGATTCATGTCCTGTTGGTTCATGTCCTGTCGACTCATGTCCTTTTGGTTCATTTCCTGTCGATTCATGTCCTGTCGATTCATGTCCTGTCGATTCATGTCCTGTCGATTCATGTCCTGTCGATTCATGTCCTGTTGATTCATGTCCTTTTGGTTCATGTCCTGTCGACTCATGTCCTGTTGATTAATGTCCTATTGATTCATGCCCTGTTAATTCATGTCCTGTTGATGCATGACCTATTGATTCATGTCCTGTTAATTCATGTCCTGTTGATTAATGTCCTATTGATTCATGAACTGTTGGTTCTTGTTCTGTTGGTTAATGTCCCATTATTTCATGTTGTGTTTTTTAAATGTTTACACCAAGTATCCACTCAGAACACCACCACAACTTTTAACCAGATCACCTACCCCCCCCCCCCCCCCCCCCCCTCTTCATCCCCCCTCCAGGCCATGCAGCGGACAGTATGTGTTGTGACAGTCCTGGTCCTCTGCCTGCCGTCCTGCCTGTCCCAGTTCCCGGGCCTGACTGACGAGCCCCAGATCAAGGACTCTCTCAGGCTGGCCAACATCCTGCTCAACCGTCCCGACGAGGGGCCCAGCGTCAGGAGGGACTGCCGGATGTTGAACAACACGGAGTTTCAGCGCATCGTGCGCGCGGTCAACGCGGCCAAGAGAGACACGGTCAGTTGTCACGTGGTGTGGTGGGGGGCGTGGCCACACGCTTATGCATTAGTGATAGGAATTAAGGGGCGGCAACCTGTTTAACAAAAAGCCAATTTGGAAATTTATTATAAAAAATATTTTTTAAGGATTCTTACATAAAATTTTGATTTATTTTCGACACTTCGAAACGAAATGGTTAATACTAAATGTATTTTATATGCTAGTTTAAAAAAAAGAAATTTCAGTTAATTAATATATTGGCAGTTAGAACTCGTAAACATAGAAGAGACATAATTTCTGTTAAAGGGACAAAATACAACAAGAAGTCCATTACTGCATCTTTGATTTAACATAAAGTTTAAAAAAGATTGTAATTTAAAAATGTGCTTTTGTTTTCCCGATTTACAACACCGAAAGTGAAAAGTAGTTCATATCGTTTAACACAACATACTAAAGTTAGTTAATTGTAGGGGAGGTAACTTTAAAAATGTAAAACGTGTAACTAATGTAGTTATCCTCCTTTGCTCGTGCAGAGAATTAAACCAAATGTCCACGACGCCTACTCCTACCTTCACGCCCACCCGGACATCAACAAAGGCGCTCACCTCGGAGCCTCGTTCCTGCCCTACCACCGTGTCTTCATCTACCTGTAAGTTGTCTAGTAGATAGCGCCAATGGCGTGGTCAGGTGGGGATGGAACCCAATGCGGTAACTCACGGTATAACTTCCTACCCCTATTATATATATATATATATATATATATATATATATATATATATATATATATTTATATATATATATATATATATATATATATATATATATATATGTATATATATATATATGTATATATATATATATGTATATATATATATATATGTATATATATATATATATATATATATATATATATATATATATATATATATATATATATATATATATATATATATATATATATATATATATATAATATGCATCACATTACCATGACCTGACCTAAATTAAATTTAAAAAACGAAACCAGACCATGTTTACGTGTCCCGTTGCAATATTGTATTGAGCAGTACCTGAAATAGAAAGGCAACGAAATTTATTACTATATTGCGTCTGTGGATTGTGATGTGCGTTAACACACGTGTTGTAGAAAACAGTGAAATCTGTGAGTAAAGCCATGCAGCCTTTTGCTTTGTTAACTTTGACCATGAATAATTTAATACCCAAGCTTAAAATAAGCTTGTAAACTATTTTTTTCTACCCCTTTTGGCGCCCCCCTTATAAATAGAATTTTGTAGGGTTTGTTTTCGGGGCTGCGTGTTGTGTGCGCTTTTATTTTATTTTGTTTCTTTTCTTCTATGTCTAAGATATGTATTATTGATAGCGTATATTGTCCTTGTCTCAAAGTCTTCCGCTAGTGCTTTACTATGCTAATCATTCGACGTTTGAGGACTGTTGTAGATTTACATTGGTAGCTATTTCTTTCACTTTAAAGATGTGTACATATTTTACAGGATTTTAGATAAGCATGAGCTCCATTTCTGAAAATCAAGATTAAATGTCAGGTGGAGAGAGAGTTGGATATGAATACCTGGAGGGGGGGGGGAATCAGTGTGCCATCTAAATGTGCAAAATGATGTTCGTTTGATGTAAATGGTGGGGATACAATTCTTCCTGATGTCTGGAGTGTAGACATGTTTGGGGGCGGGGGGGGGGGGGGGAACTGACTGCTGAAATAAAATAGTTAAGGTAAAACATGACCAGAAGCAAGTTAGAAAAAAATTATACAAGGGGAGAAAAGTCAAATTAAAAAAAACCTGAGCTATTCCCCTTTACCCACAGTAGGTCACCAGACAATCTGCGTCATGGGTGTTGGAAATGTGCTGTATAGGGAAATTAAAAAAAAATAAATTAATTAAATAACTCTAGGACAGGGGTTGCAAACATTTGAGACGGAAGAGTCAAAAGTTACACTCTACATAATTCCCCAATTTTTTAAAGAGCCACCAACATTTTTACGTGCACTTCGGTAGTGGAAAGCATGGAACCATTGCCACGGGGCTGGCCACAGCACAGTTGTGGGGCTGGGCCTAATGCCCAGCGGCTGTCAGCTGCCATATACGCTCTACTTCATCTATTCTTATTGTTTTTTGTTTGTTTAAAGTTGTTTTTGTTTTTACAGTATAATATTTTTTTTAGTTTTGAAAATAAAATAATTATTATGGTTCTGGAGAGCCGCATATTGACATCTAAAGAGCCGCAGGTTGCCAAACCCTGCTCTTTGATTGGTAGAAAAACTTATTTTGGGATCTAACAGCGAGATGCAGTTTCGTCATTACGAACTTATCAAAGTTATATTAGCTTGAATCTTTCTTAAAAGAATTAAGATGTTTGGATGTGCATGTGTGTCTTAGTTTAAGTTTTTTGTTAAAATGAATTGTTTGCCCATTTTTACAGAAGCGAATTATTTTTTCCGGCGACTTTTTATTAGTTTTTCTCATAAAATAAGAGGAGAACATCCACACTTCTTCAGAATTATGTGGTAAAAAACACTAGAAATGAATTTATAATTGCAATACGATAAAGGGCGATAACTAGATTTAACTAATCATGAACCGTGTTCGAGATAATGTTTGCTTACACTATAGCCAACTTGGGAGCTGATAAGGGGCCGATATAACCAATAACAAGATAATTTTATAAAGGAAATATTAGAGGTCTACGTATGTATTCATATATACATTTTTTAAAAATCGATGACATATACATATTATTTTTCATGTTTTTTAAAGATACCGGGAGTTTATCAACATCTCTTCTTCTTCTTCGTTCTTAATTATTAGCGTTGAAGGGGATCGAGATTTATCTGCCAGTGGGTTTGAGACTTTGTTCGAATTTATCAACCATGAGCTTTTTGCCGACTCGACCACGCCTCCAACACAATTAAGCGTTACGTGTCAACTGGTTATGCGCCATTGAGGCCATTGACTCCGATTTCAGCCTGCTTTTCTTTTTGGATTTGCTTCCATAGCCTTTGTCCAACCAAGAACAAACTACAAGGCAGCAGTTGTTTAATTTTGGAGTTGTCTCTCCTAGAAGAGTGGCTGTCCCCAGCTAACGAGCCTCATCTGCCCGAGGGTTCGAACTCGAGACTTTTCGGTTTAGCAACCATGAGCTTTACCGACTCGACCACGCCGACCCCTATTGGTCGATTTCTATTGCAACATTGCGGCGAGTCTTTTGGCCTTGTGCGAAAAAAAAAAGTAGTATAACTCTCCAGTTTCAGACAGCACTTTAGACCTAATCTGACTTCTCCACAGTGTCACGTGGGACACGCCCATCAACGACTATGTGCCAGACCGTTTCTGGTTACCTGACCAGTACCGCACGTACCAGCTGACCCTGAAGGACATACTGGCCATGCGCTCAGGACTTGGAGATGTGGATATGATCTCCCGATTCAAGGCCTACAACATCAAAAGTTTATTTTTTTTTCAGCTACGAGAAACTGTTGCGCATCTACGACCGAGGCATCAGCCTGTGTTTCTGGGACTCGACGGCCGAGCCTGAGAAGATGACCTGGTCAGCGCTCTGGACACCGGAACTCTTCGGCAACGTCCAGGGTGCCGTCACCACCGGGTTCGCTAGAGACTGGGTCACGCCGCTTAGGACTCTGGACAGGCAAGGTGAGGTGACGTTCAGAACTGTTGTCCATCATGTTAATATACATGTTGTCCATCATATATATATATATATATATATATATATATATATATATATATATATATATATATATATATATACATTATATATATATATACATTATGAATATGTTAATGAGAACCTTTTGAATCACGTGACAGGCGGTGTCCTAGGCCGGCCATTTACCGACCAGGACGTTGAGATCGTGATGTCCAAGAAAAGGCTGGGTGAGATCTCCATGCCCGCTGCTAAGGTGGACGCCAATGTGGAGCTCATGCACAACTACGTGCACAGTTACGTTGGGGGCATCATGGGACAGGTAGGATTGTATAACAGTTGGGGATCATGGGGCAGGTAGGATTGTATAACAGTGGGGCATCATGGGACAGGTAGGATTGTATAACAGTGGGGCATCATGGGACAGGTAGGATTGTGTAACAGTTGGTGGGGGATCATGGGACAGGTAGGATTGTATAACAGTGGGGCATCATGGGACAGGTAGGATTGTATAACAGTGGGGCATCATGGGACAGGTAGGATTGTATAACACTCAGGGATCATGGGACAGTTAGGATTGTATAACTGTTGGTGGGGGATCATGGGATAGGTAGGATTGTATAACAGTGGGGCATCATGGGACAGGTAGGATGGTATAACACTTGGGGATCATGGGACAAGTAGGATTGTATAACAGTGGGGGATCATGGGACAAGTAGGATTGTATAACAGTGGGGGATCATGGGACAGGTAGGATTGTATAACAGTGGGGGGTCATGGGACAGGTAGGATTGTATAACAGTTAGTGGGGGATCATGGGGCAGGTAGGATTGTATAACAGTGGGGGATCATGGGACAGGTAGGATTGTATAACAGTTGGGGATCATGGGACAGGTAGGATTGTATAACAGTTGGGGATAATGGGACAGGTAGGATTGTGTAACAGTTTGTGATCATGGGACAGGTAGCATTGTATAACAGTTGGGGATCATGGGACAGGTAGGATTGTATAACAGTTGGGGATCATGGGACAAGTAGGATTGTATAACAATAGGGCATCATGGGACAGGTAGGATTGTATAACAGTTGGGGATTATGTGACAGGATTGTATAACAGTTGGGATCATGGGACAGGTAGGATTGTATAACAGTTGGGGATCATTGGACGGGTAGGATTGTATAACAGTTGGGGATCATGGGACAGGTAGGATTGTATAACAGTTGGGGATCATGGGACAAGTAGGATTGTATAACAATAGGGCATCATGGGACAGGTAGGATTGTATAACAGTTGGGGATTATGTGACAGGATTGTATAACAGTTAGGATCATGGGACAGGTAGGATTGTATAACAGTTGGGGATCATTGGACGGGTAGGATTGTATAACAGTTGGGGATCATGGGACAGGTAGGATTATATAAGATTTGGGGATCATGAGACAAGTAGGATATTATAACACTCGACCTTCGGGACTGAAATGGGTACACAGACAAAATTTAGCCATAACTCAATACGTTCATATTCTGTTATTGCAGGTGCAGACGGCCGCTTATGACCCCATCTTCTGGTTCCACCACACGTTTGTTGACTGCCTGTACGACAAATTCCAGAGGAGACAACGGCAACTCGGCATCGATCCCATGAGGGACTGGCCCGTGGAGCACGGCACGACCTCCCACGCGCCCTTCGCCCCCATGCGGCTGGGCAGTCTCCGGAACATCGACGGCGCGCATGCGTCCTTCAGCCGCGACATCGTCCAGTGCGAGCCCATCCCGCCCTGCTCCAGTGATGTCGACTGCGGGGAGTACATGCGCTGTGACGTGGCCAGACGGAAGTGCGTGTCCGACACGTTGCGGCCTGCGACGGAGATGGGCAGCATGTGGGACAGCGTGGAGACCCTGCTGGCGTCCATGTTGAGGGGGCGGCTGGCTGAGAGCAACCACCCCCTGGCCCCGCCCAATTTCGGGTACGGAATCGTCTTTCAACAGCCGGCGTTGTTTGCGTTTCCGGGAGAGAAAAACGAAATGTCTGCGTAGGGTTCAAAGTTGAATGCGAATATATTTGTTAAAGGCAGTTGGAAAATAAAATTTCTACAATATTTATTAAGTAACATTTTAGCAAATCTGCATGAAAAGTACATGCAGGGAAATTGAAAAAATAAACAAATATTTATTGAAAATTACGAAGTATTAAACGTTATATATTTTGAATAGGAGATTTGTACTAATTTGTGCTAAAATATAAAAAGAAATAATTGGTCAATAAACGTTAACGGTTGTTTAACTTACGTTCATTATTATTGATTTCAGAATGTTGATAGTTTATGTATGTTGTCAGAATTGTCTGTAGATTATTGTTAGGGGTAATGACCAAGCACGATTTAAAAGAAATAATCAGGGTTGAATGAAAGGTGGGAGAATCTACATTCAGTTTCCAAATTCGAAAATATTTTTGTACGTCCACCAAATGAAAAGCTTTTGACAAAAACAATGAAATGGAACCGGCTAGGAAGTTTCTGAGTGTATCATGTCCATATGTAAGTTATATATTTGAACAGACATGCTCCTCTGATAAATAAGAATCTATACATTCTAACTCAAGGGAAGCTACTATGGTCAATATTCGTGATATCACCCGTGTTACCAGAGTATTGCTGAGCTGTTCTTCACTTCGGTCAACGGATGTCAGCATAACATTTTGAAGCTTGATCCCAATGTCAGAATGACATTTCAAACATGATCCAGGCCATGTCAAGGAAGTCTAATTTGTTCAAGCTCTCTGCCCTTCATGTCACACATATACTGGTTGACCAATCTAGATGTCATTCTCTCGCTTGACCATTCTGCGAACTACCATTTCACACTATAGCTTGCCCACAATACTCAGATGAAAATCTTCTTGCCCGCTCTTTTACACAACCTAGACATTTGACCACTTCAGACACACACACACACACGCACGCACGCACGCACACACACAAATATAACATCAACAAAATTATCAAAATATAAAATAAGAGCAGTTTGTAATATTCAGAAAACAGCAAAAATTTTTTAATTTTTTTAAAGCTATGTATCGAGATAAACAAATCTTAAGCACAAATTTTCACTCGGGCTATTGTAAAAGTGACACAATTCAGAATAACGTAATAGGTAATTTACTACAGTGTCTATATATATATATATATATATATATATATATATATATATATATATATATATATATATATATATATATAAAGGAAAATAAATCACGGTGTCATAGACAGCAATAACTATAAAAGCACCGTTATCTTACGATAAAATCTATAAAATTAGACATACCCTTGATTGAATACTGCGTCACAGTGAAAAATAAATAGTATTATTTTAAAAAGATTACCAATGTCAGAGGCGGATCCGGGACTTGGCATTGGGGCGGTGTGGGGGGGGGGGGTAATTTGGGGAAAATTTAAGAATTAAGCCTACCAAAAGTTAACAAATATTTAATTATTTATCTATGTAGAATATTTTTATACCAGGACGTCACTGTGTCCACAGTCCACGCATCATGAGCTGGGTGGACTCGGTGACGTCATACAGATTCTAGCCTGGATCTGAACGCGCTGTGCCCGTTAATATTTTAAAATCTATTTATGTAGATATCTTGGGAGGCACATGGAGATATAGACTCCACACTAAAAAAAAACCCAAACCCAAATAACAAAAAAACAAAACAAATTTCAACACAGACAATCCGCCTAAGGATAGATCCGCCTATGCAAGCGTAATGCTAACTTAAAATGAAAATACAATGAAACAGTATGTAAGGTGTAAAACAGAAATATCAATACAAAGTGAACTATCGTACCCAATAAAAATCAACTAAAAACATCACCATTAAAATAAAACTAACAAATCAAAGGCGAAGTAGAAAAATCAAAACATTCGCAAATCGGATTCAACAAAATGAAAACAACACATGCTTTTACACACACGAGAATCTAATTTTAGCTAACAAACATTCTGAAAATAAATATTTCACAACACGTTTAATGCCATTTAAAATTTTACAATTTTCTTCTTTAAAAAAAACAACCAGTAACAACATTTAGAAATAACGTACTGGGTGTATTAATTAAGAAGTTTAGTTTTATTATGATTGTATTAAGTGAAATTCAGCACAATCAATCATAATAAAAAAATAAACAGAGTACAAATTTGTTTTAAAAATTAGGCTTAATTATTCTTAAAATGTTAACAGTCTAATGTTTAATAATTTTTTAAAAAGTAGGTGAGATTGAAAAATTCTCAATTTTGTATTGAAAACTTGTTTTAAATTTCCTTAAAGTTTTGTAAAAAAAAAAAATCTAGATGTTTTACCCACAACTTCTTTTTGTTTTTAAGAATTGGGTGTATATTGTTAAGTAAGATCAAATCTGTTTACTTTTATACTTAACTATTTTTTTAACCACTAGGTTTGTTTAATCTTACAATATTTTTTTACTGCTGTGTTTATCTAAGCAGACTTTTTTTAAAACTGCTGTGTTTGCTATACAATACAAATTTTTAAACTGCTGTTTACTTCAGCAGTAATTAAACTGCTCAATCTGTGTATTCTAAGCAGTGGCGTAGCGAGGTCGGGTGTCACCCGGTGCGGCACTTAATGGTGTCACCCCCTATAGGCGTAGCGACCCTTCACGGGGACGAACTTTCAAGTTTTCGATTTGCACACCCCCCTCAAACTTTCGATTTGCACCCCCCCCTCAAGTTTTCGATTTGCACACCCCCCCTCAAACTTTCGATTTGCACCCCCCCCTCAAGTTTTTCTCTATATATCTTGCTATTTTTTGCCTTGGTGTCACCCCCTAAATGGTGTCACCCGGTGCAGTCCGCACCCCCCGCCCCTCGCTACGCCCCTGATTCTAAGCAATGATTACTGCCGTCGTAGTGAAGAGAGTTAATGTGTGGTGGAATGTATGTGTATGTCCCTATACGTCAATTCTACTGCTGCTGTACTAGCCACTTCTAAAACAATTGATACACTTTATAATTAACATCTGATTTACAATTCAATAAATGAACATAAAATTTACAAGAACAAACAAAAAACCTGAATAGTATAGTAAAGATATAATAATTGTAGCAGGCAAAATAAAATTATGGTATAAATGTTATTGAGAATACAGGAACGACAACTCTGATATAATGGTCAGCAACCTGGATTGGAAGAAAAACTTGGTGACCGATAGTTAGTCGATCGTAAATGGCGTCTAACCATAGGGGTGAGGAGGGGGGGATTGGGTAAGGAGGGGGGGGGGTCCGGACAATATGACGATGTATGAAGTAGGCGAAGGGTTTCAAGATACTGTGACGTCATACGTGTTTGCATTATTTAAACAATGGAAAAAACAGAATTTTTAAAAGCTATTCTGCGTTCTAGTAAATAAATTTTTCGTAAAGTGAAATGGGTATCTCTTTGTCTTTTAAACAAGCAGTACATGATATTTCTGACAAAACCAACTTAGCTCGCCAATTGTTATTGTTTTGGCTTTTCAGTATTTGAAAATTTAAATCCTTACTGCACTGAAATCTCATGTCATTATACTTTAAAATATGGAGCTTTACATCGTAGCCTGTAGGTTTCCATTTGTCTTTATATCTATATCTCTTACACGTAAAATAAACAATATTCATTTTTAAAAATTCCAAGCGACTAATCCCTTTTAGACTAATCCCATTGAGACTAAACTAGATTAGACCTATGCCGTTTAGACCATTCTCAATTATACTAACACCGAAAAGACTAATCTCGATCAACGTAATCTCGACCATGCTAATATCGACCATACTTTCATTGATCAGACAAATCCCCACCAGACTAATCCCGGTCAGACTAATCCCCATCAGACTAATCCCGGTCAGACTAATCCCCATCAGACTAATCCCCGTCAGTCTAATCCCCACCAGACTAATCCCAATCAGACTAATCCCTATCGGAGTAATCCTAATCAGTAGCTGCAAGTTTCCGAGTACTGATCAAGTAAATGTATTTTGACAACCTAAACTGTTTTTGTTGAAGCTCAACTTAGATGAGATACACACATGCGATAACGTTCACACATAAAACATGGGGTTTTCCCACAACCAGTGTCCGACAATGCACTCTCAAAAAAAAAAAATAGGTTGCTAATGGTGTTTTAATATCCGGGTTAGTGTAAGGGTCAGAATTAGGGTTAGGGCTATGCCATGACTTGGGTTAGGGCTTGGTTAAAAGTAAAATAGTTAGCGGTGACACTAGGTTATATATTAATTGCTGTTAGTAACCTAACACTCCTTCCTTAAACACATTTATGTCCATCATTGTGGTGAGGGTTTCTTTCAGACTTTTTTCTCCGTGTGGGCACTTGAAATTTTCGGGGGGGGGGGGGGGATGGAGTGGGGCGGACTAAAATTTTCGGGGGGGGGGGCGGGCACTGTAAATAGTACATATTTTCTATATAAATTCCATTTCGTTCGGGGGGGGGGGGCGTAGACTTTCTTCGAAGAGATGCCTGGAAGAAACTCTGATTGTGGTACGCTGGTATACACCAAACACAGGCATTTCTTACACAGATTAATTAAGTTTACATAGTCTACCGATAAAGCACAAGAAAGGCCGATGCCAAAGCCGACCATACTGTAAAGACTAGTCGATGACCGGAGGAACAAGGCTGGGAGGGGTACTCGACGTAGGGCGCCCTGGGGCGGCGGCTGAAGACGGGAACCTCCACCTCACTCATGCCCAGGAGTTTCACAGACTCGATCTCGTCCTCCTCCTCCTCAAAGACAGCGTACAGATGGGGGCTGTAGTGTCTGGCACTCGTGAAGTACCAGTATGTTTGTTTAGCATACAGCTATGGAAGACAAAATGGGTAAATTTCACATTTTGGTTATTTAAATAACTGCGAGCTATGGAAGACAAAATGGGTACATTTCACATTTAAAAAAAAGTAGCTACGAAAGACAATATGCTTAAGTTTAACATCTGGGTTTTCAATAATTAGCTAATTAGACATCATATGAAGTTTCAGTTTTGGTTGTTTTTGTTCAAAAACAAGTTATGAAATTTCGCATTTTGGTTATTTAAATTACCACGACCTATGGAAGACAAGATGGGTGAATTTCACGCTTTAGTTGCTCAGGTAAAAGCTATGAAAATTTGTTTGACCAAGTAAAAGTTTTGCTGTATCAGATTTGATGGTTTGTGTTTTAAAATGTGTTGGACAACTTACAAGCTGTGCTGTATCAGATTTGATGGTTTGAGTTTTAAAATGTGTTGGACAAAGTACAAGCTGTTATAACCTACTCGGAATGTGTCGTTGGTTTCCGTGTAGAGCATGAAAAATTCCGCCGCTCCGTACTTAAGCGTGAGATTTGTTTCTTTGTCGACTACGACCTTGACCTCCACGTCGCCCAACAGATAGTTCCTATACAATCCTTCAAACTCACTCAGAGGTCGACCTTCGTATTGGTTCGTCTATTAAAATAATGAAAAACAACAACAGAGAAAATGGTAATAATATAATTAACAATGAACTTTTTAAACGGGCAAATGAAGTAGAGTTCACTTGTTTCTGTGACCTCGGCATATGAAGAGATAGCGTGGTCAGCACTAAGCCTAGCCGCCTTTACCTTTCCCTAACGTGAGTTAGGTACTCATCAGAGTTGGGTGGACGGTCTACTGACTAGAACCCGGATTCGAACTCAAGACTTACGGGTTAGCAGTCCAGCTCTCTACCGCTAGACCACTCCTTCTATTTTTACCGCCGTTCCCCATCCCTCTCGTGGTACATCGCAAGAAAAGTACCCCCCCCCTCTCCCCCTTTTCGTCAGTGTTCCGTTACTTATGGACAACCCCTTAGTGGATTTTGAAAACGTCATCGTAAAAGCATCTATCATTTCGTATTTGTTTTAAAATGTGTGCTTTTAATAAGTTTACAGGTTAAACAAAAAACCAGTCATGTACCACGTTAATTCTTGGTTACCATTGTGGAGACGAAATGGTGACATGTATGCCTTTTGCGTTCTTCATTTCACTTTACGCTTAATTTTTTTTATTTTTTTTTCACAATACAATGTACAGCCTTCTTCAACCACGCGATTATGCAACACATCAGACTGATCGCAGGTTACATTATGGTTGCGTATCTGACAAAAGCAAGGGAAGTAAAAAAGGCTGGCCATAACGATTGATCACACAATCTCTTCATACGCTAATGTTAAAGAAACGTTTATTCTACTTCGTCAGCCTTCTTGGCTGTCATTAACGGAAAGATATTCCACCCACATTATGGCCAGTGAGGGGGTGGGGGCGGGATGGCGTGGTCGGATGGTAGAGCATACAGCTCGCGTTCGAATCCCGGGTTCGTGTCAGGAAAACGTCCTTGAACCCACCCAGCTCTACAAGCTATCTGACTAAAGTTAGTGAAAGCAGAGGCGGCCGAGCACACTATCCCTTCAAATACCGAGGTCTCTGGAACAGGTGAACTCTACTCCCAGGGTACTTTATAGCCAGTTAAGTGTTGTGTGTGTGCAGGGGTGTGGGGTGTGGAGTAGGGGGCACTTGGAATTTTCGAGAAGGGTGGGCTAAAATTTCCGGGTGGGGGGGGGGGGCAGCGGATACAGTTAAAAGTATATATTTTCTATATAAATTCCATTTCGTTCGGGTGGAGGGGGGGGGGGGGGTAGACTCTTCCAGAGATGCCTGAAAGAAACTCTGCTTACTTTTCTGTGGTGAGCAGATGGTCTCTGGTTGTTAAGTTTGGAATCCTCGTACGCCTTGGTCGTCTGGCTGATCAGCTGACAGATGTCCTCGATACTCTCACTAGTTACAGCACGCTTTACGGCGGCGAAGTTGAGCTGTTCCTGTTGATGGAGAAGACGTTAATCACACAATCATTGGCTTGCATCTCACAAGCATCCGTCCAATCATTCTGAACGGTGTCGAGACGAATAAGGCTTCCAGAAGAAAGTACCCAGGCATGTTAAATGAGTACCAAAATGGTGTTCAAGAACGGAGAGAATATTTTTAGCACAAGTATAGTAAGGGACACTAGAAAAACGGAAAATGGAGAAAATATCAAAGCTATGAGTCAATTTAAAAAAACTAATAAGGATTTTGAACATCTGAATTTCTTACTTAAAATGAAGACAAAGTTTACTTAACAAACAACCAAGGAGACCGAAACATTTGGGTAAACACGAATGTTGGTCATTTAAACCCAAAGTACTGTGTAGAAACAAAACAATAGGAAACCCTCGAAACATCATTGTAAAAAGACAATACATTGGGAAAATCTATAAGATTGGGCAGATAGAAAACTTTACGAAATTTTAAAATGAAGGTAGCTAAATCTTACGACAAGAACCAATCTCCTTTATCAAAGCTTTTTGTGTAGAATACCTTTAACGCTAAACTCTGTATGTAAATTATTTTTTAAGCTAAGCTCTGTTTGTAAATTACCTTTAGAGCTAAGCTCTGTAAGCAAATTAAAGCTAATGTTTGTATGTGAATTATCTTTAAAGGTAACCTCTTTATTAAAATTATTTTTAAAGCTAAGCTCTGTATGTGAATTACCTTTAAAGCTAAGCTTTGTATCACCTTTAAGGCTAAGCTCTGTATGTGAGTTACCTATAAAGTTAAGCTCTGTATTTGAATTACCTTTAAAGCCAAGCTCTGTATGTGAATTACCTTTAAAGCTAAGCTCTGTATGTGAATTACCTTTAAAGCTAAGCTTTGTATCACCTTTAAGGCTAAGCTCTGTATGTGAATTACCTATCAAGTTAAGCTCTGTATTTGAATTATCATTTAAAGCTAAGCTCTGTATGTGAATTACCTTTAAAGCTAAGCTCTGTATGTGAATTTCCTTTAAATCTAAGCCCTGTATATGAATTATTTTTAAATCTAATCCCTTTATGTGAATTATTTTAAAATCTAATCCCTTTATGTGAATTACCTTTAAATCTAAGCCCTTTATGTGAATTATCTTTAAATCTAAGCCCTTTATGTGAATTACCTTTAAATCTAAGCTCTGTATATGAATTACCTTTAAATCTAAGGCCTTTATGTGAATTACCTTTAAAGCTAAGCTCATAGCACTTTCGTCGCCCGTGAAGGACGAGTAAACTGCCAGATTGCGAGACGGGACCAGGGTGAGCATGGACTGTTGACCGGGCAGTGACCCCTCTTGGGAAACAGTTGTGATGCCTGGGGAGTGGAACGTCAGGCTATTACTCACAAGGTTCTGTCATGTGGTGGCTAAAGGAGGAACCGTTCTATCATATTGTTGACATGGATACAGTTCGTTTAAAAAATATTTTGACTTCATTGTGACCGTAAAAAAATATTAATAAAAAAATAAAAACTTAAGCTTAAAAATAATTCAGATATTTTAATATTTTTAGAATCAATGTTATAAAAGTGGCAAATCCAGAGAATTTGAAAATAATAATTTTTTTGTAGTTTAATCACCTCCAAAGTTCCAATTAAGAAAGAAGAAGAAAACTACCTTACATGGTCTATTATTTTTCCATCAAGTTTACTATTTTACCGCTACAAATGAGTAATTAAGGTAATATTGATACGAAGATGTAAGTAGTCAGATGTACATACACATAAACACATCATTATCCCAACAAGTCGAATGAAAAAAGAATACCCAAATAACAGCCAATTCAGCTTTCTAGCGTTAATCTACTTACCTCAATACATAAGCACTTATGACAAGGTTTCATCCCTACCAAAAATTAAACTTTACAATGGTAAAGTGATAGTATAAATAACATTAATGTAATTGTTATAATGGTTTAACTATACATATATATATATATATATATATATATATATATATATATATATATATATATATATATATATATATATATTGGGGTGAAAACTAATTTAAAAATCGTAAAATGGACTGTCCAACTGTCCAAACAAAGCTTTATCCAGGTTAAAAATAATTTAAAAAAAAAAAAAACAACAACAACCGAAAACAATTGTTGGGAAAGGGGTAACACGGAATAGAAAATGCAAGCATTTTTTAGGGAGGGTGGGATGACAACCCCCCCCCCCCCCCCCCCCAAATTATTGCACCGTGTCACACACCATAGTGACGCCACTGGTTTAGCGTACACCTGACACGACATTCGCTTAACGTTTTACCTCGATACTCTCCAATGACCCATCCCAGCCCGTGGTACTGTCTTACGTATCTATCATAGGCGTCAGCTTGATTGGTTGCATATTCCAGTGGCTGTAATATTATTAATAATGATAAGTATATAACGGCCTGTTAAAATATGTTGGCAAATACATACACATAAGTACGACATGTGACAAATGTAAACGGACCCATAAATAACAGTATCACCCGTGACTCCTCTAAATGTACCCTCCAGAGTTTCTTTCAGACAATATTCCCCAGGGTGGGACTTGAATCTTTCGGGGGGGGGGGGGGGAGATGGATTTAAATTGTTGTTGGACGTGCTTCGTTGGGGGCCGGGGAGTGCACCCCTACCCGAAGAGGTGCCGGAAAGAAACTCTGGTACCCACCCAGGTACCACCACCTACCGTATTTACCCTAAAGTTACCCACACAGATACCACAACCTACCGTATTTACCCTAAAGTTACCCACCCACATACCACTACCTACCGTATTTACCCTAAAGTTACCCACCCACATACCACTACGTACCGTAATTGTCCTAAACGTCCGCTTTAGAGCTTCTCTAGGCAGAACGGAGACCTGACTGTCATCCAACAAAAACTTCATCCATTTCTTCATGTCCTCGGTTGTTGTACAGATGCCGGTAGCTGGGGCCGTCAGAACGTACCCGCTGTTTGATACATTGAAAACACAGCGTGCTGGTGGCATGGTATAGGGCTTGTAAGTAGGTCACAACTTCTCGTTCTCGTACTATGCAGCTAGTAGATTTCGAGACCGTAGACTTACAAGCCCCATACTCGAGGGCGGTTGCTCGTAATGTAAGTCTATACTTAAATTATACTTTACAGTGTGGTGGGGGTGGAGGGAGGTGTTGCATAATAAACCTCGGAATTTTATAGATGTAAATTTGCGTTTAGAATGACTAATACAAGAGGCGGAAGTAGAAAAACGCCATTAAAGAGAAAAATGTTATAAATAAGATATAGTGTATATATATATATATATATATATATATATATATATATATATATATATATATATATATATATATATATATATATATATATATATATATAACACACACACACACACACACATATATATATATATATATTTATATATATATATATATATATATATATATATATATATATATATATATATATATATATATATATATATATATATATATATATATATATATATATAAAGCAGGGCACTAAGAGCCGTGTCGTATTAGGACCCATTAAGCACCCCACCGACCCCACCCATTACAAAAAAAAACCCCAATAAAACTACTTATCTACTTCTGAGGTAACAACCACTGCTTTTCTTTGATAACAGAGAAACAGAGGATTCTTCTTATGTCATTTATGACCCACTTAGCCCAGTAGGGAGAAGATGAAACAGGAATTAATCACACTGCTCTTTCTTCAAAATTTCTCACGTCCATAAACCATTTTGTGAACTTTTTTTTCCCCAGTAGACGTAACTTAGGAAACTTCACTTTGTAATCAACCACATGACTTTTTCAATGCTATTCTTTTTTTCAAGTCTTCAAACATTAGTTGTTGTACATTTAACACCATTTTGATAAATGTAGTCATAATAGTTTTATTTTGGTGAATTTCTTTTCTCACAGTGATTGTTGATGCCAATACAAAATGGCCGACATTTGTCCGGATTACCGTGCTATACATTTTTTTGATCATTCTCAGAGTAAAACTAGAATCAGCAGTATCATAATGGTTTTATTTGAAGCTTAAAAAGCTAATGGTTGATACATTCGAAAAAAAAAAGATTTAAAACCCTCTGGCTGATAAGGCTCGATCCCTTCCAATACTAAAAATTAAGAACAAAGAAGAAGAAGAAGAAGAAGAAGAAGAAGAAAAAGAAGAAGAAGAAGAAGAAGTAGAAGAAGAAGAAGAAGAAGAAGAAGAAGAAGAAGAAGAAGAAGAAGAAGAAGAAGAAGAAAAAGAAGAAGAAGAAGAACAAAAGAAGAAGAAGAACAAAAGAAGAAGAAGAACAAAAGAAGAAGAAGAAGAAGAAGAAGAAGAAGAAGATTTAAAATTTAGTGCCTACCTGTATGCTGACCGTGATATGTCACTAAAACCTCCGTTAGGGTTGGCCACTGAACCTTTCACGGCTGCTCCATCGTCCAGGAACACTGTGTCGTACATGCCCAGTGGCTGTGGGAAACGTGGAGAATAGAATACAATCAACGTTCAATGGCGTGACAACTACTCACTTCATGTGTCATCCCAATTCAAATGTTTCATTCTTTCTTATAAACTTTCCGATCATACTTTTTAAAAAAACTTTAATATAAAAAAAATTCTTTCTGAACATTTTTTCTTAGAAACTTGTAGAACATTCTTCTTTCTTATTCTTCTTCATTCTTAATTTTTAGTATTGGAAGTGATCGAGCCTTATCTGCCAGAGGGTTCGAACTCGAGACTTTTCGGTTTAGCAACCATGAGCTTTACCGACTCGACCACGTTTTACAAAAAAATTTCATAGTTTATAATTATGTTAACCTACTATCTCAGCATCAAAAGTAAACAGACAACACAGCAGTACCTGCAGGAGAAGGGACTTGGTTAGGTTCTGCCACGAATCTCCTCCAATAGCCTGAACGACTTGTTCAATGACGGTGAAAAGCATCAGGTTGGGCGTGTACTTGTCCCTGAAGGCAGCCACAGACGGCAGATAGCGGAGTTTACTGGAGACACGCCAATGTCGTACATTAAACTCAGCTTGTGTGTATGTTTTATAAGCTTTTATTTTATTTTTACCTCCCATGTATTAATATAAATAAACGGATAATTATCTATATATATAATTCTCTTCTGGGAGACGCTAGAAAACAAGCTGTAAGCGCGCTCCCTACCACCCCACCCCTACATGGTCTGGTGAGCTGTGGTCACGCTAAATGTTTACAATCATAGAGCCGGGTTTAGTGACGGCTATTAGGGGCAGATAATTTAGTTTGAAACGATTTTAAACTTAGGGGAGGTAACTAAGAGGAGGCTGCTTTCACGGGGGGGGGGGGGGGTAGGGGTTGGGGAAATAGAGGGTGGGGGTAGTATCGTTCTTAGCGAACTACTGATAGTGTTTTAAAGCAAATATTTTCAGTGGCAGCATTGGTACTGTCGAATTCACAAATTATGAATTACTGAAAAGTAGAAAAATAAAACAACTAAATAGCGGCGTATGATATGCCTCGGGTCGGCTCGATGAATATAAAGAAAATCATTTTATTATTTTCTTCTTAGTGCACACAGAAACCGTATAATTACTTACGATTTTTTTTTATTATGCTTTAATTTTTAGAATTAAGAAAATGTAATGTTGGCTAATTAACAAATCTAAAGAATAATAAATTAATATGTAATTATATTGTCACCGGATATTGACTTCCGTGTCAAGTTGAAAAAAAAATTGGTTTAGGTGTAAAGTAGTAGGTGAAATTTTGTAGCCATGAAGACATACAACGGATGACATGACATACATGGAATATTGGAATAGGTTAAATAAAAAACTCGGGTTAAATAAGAAACATAGATATCCTTGCCGGATGGAAGTATCTACAAAAAGGGAGAAGGGGGGGGGGGTTAAAAAGCCCAATAGAAAGATAACTCTAAAATGCCATTTGCTGATTGGTTAAAGCTTTATCAAACAAATCACGTGCTGAGAAGCAGACGTGAGTTGGCCGGAAGTGCTGATCGTGCCAAACTATCGCCGCAAGATGTAATTAAATTAAACCTCTAAAGAAAAAGAGCTACTGTTATGAGATCAGAGTGTGGGTCTAAAATTTTATACTGGAAACGTTATGATATTTTTGTTAAGTTATTTTTTGCATATAGGTTTTTGATGATAATGATTCACAAACTTCTACTGCCCTTGTCTACATACTGCGCTTGTCTACGGACTGCCCTTGTCTATGTAATGCCCTTGTCTACGTACTGCCCTTGTCTACGGACTGCCCTTGTCTATGTAATGCCCTTGTCTACGTACTGCCCTTGTCTACGGACTGCCCTTGTCTATGTGCCCTACCTTTGTAGTTCTGAAGCCGACTTGTAGGCCTTGAATCTGGAGATCATATCCACATCTCCAAGTCCTGAGCGCATGGCCAGTATGTCCTTCAGGGTCAGCTGGTACGTGCGGTACTGGTCAGGCAACCAGAAACGGTCTGGCACATAGTCGTTGATGGGCGTGTCCCACGTGACACTGTGGAGAAGTCAGATTAGGTCTAAAGTGTTGTCTGAAACTGGAGAGTTATACTATTTTGTTTTTTTTTTTTTGCACACGGCGAAAAGACTCGATGCAAAACAGGTGTCTCTTTTAATATTTCAGAAACAATCGCTGTTAAAAAAAACCCCGAAGTTTAATTTCTAAAAAAAAAAAAAAAATGGGCTGGGTTTGTGTGACGTGATTTTAGCTATAACTTTGTTGTGATTTGGGTGAGGGTAGAGTGGGGAGTAACAAAACAGTAGCTTTTAATCTCAAACCTTTCAATTAATCCAGCTAGAGGTATGGGCTATATTTTTTTGTAATAAAACTAGTGTTCGACACTTATATTGAATTCGGCTATTAAAAAGACAGACTTACTAGCACAATCAAAGAGAATTTCTAGCGTAAGTCAAAGACAGACTTACTAGCTCAATCAAAGAGAATTTCTAGCGTAACTAAAAGACAGACTTACTAGCACAATCAAAGAGAATTTCTAGCGTAACTAAAAGACAGACTTACTAGCACAATCAACGAGAATTTTCTAGCGTAAATAAAAGACAGACTTACTAGCACAATCAAAGAGAATTTCTAGCGTAACTAAAAGACAGACTAACTAGCACTATCAAAGAGAATTTCTAGCGTAACTAAAAGACAGACTTACTAGCACAATCAACGAGAATTTTCTAGCGTAAATAAAAGACAGACTAACTAGCACTATCAAAGAGAATTTCTAGCGTAACTAAAAGACAGACTTACTAGCACAATCAACGAGAATTTTCTAGCGTAAATAAAAGACAGACTTACTAGCACAATCAAAGAGAATTTCTAGCGTAACTCAAAGACAGACTTACTTTTTATACGTGTCAAGTAGTTTAGCCAGTAGCACGGCTGTGAATGTCTGGGTAATCCCACCAATACAAAATGCGGCTTTGCCATCACTCTTTGCCTGGTCCTTAGTATAGGACTTCGTGAAATCAGCTTTTTTCTTGTTTGTAGCTGAGAACAAAATGCAGTATACCTACATTTTAAAGAATACATAGCCCTATTGAAAAGACAACACACAAACAAACAAACAAACAAACGCTTTGCTTGTATATATATATACACATATATATATATATATATATATATATATATATATATATATGATATATGTATACATACATTCATATATATATATATATATATATATATATATATATATATATATATATATATGTATATATATATGTATATATATATATATATATATATATATATATATATATATATATATATATATATATATATAAATTTGTAAACTACAAGAGAGATAAATATCGTCAGCAATGCCCGTGTAATGGATACCGATGGCTAGTTGTTTTAATTTTATAATACTGACAAGTCTTCAGTTAAAAAATTCCCCATGCAATAAGATTTACTTACAAAAGAAGACCACGGTCAGATTTTCCACATTCGAACATTTGTATGCTGTATCGTAGGCTCTCATTAATTCGTAATCCGTTGACTGTCCAAGAGAGTAGACAGCACAGACTGACAGGAGACACAACACTGACAGCAGTTCACGGACAGCCATGTTTTTGTTTGTCTTTCTAGGAAAAAAATATCAACATTTTTTTAAACAAGCAATTAATATATTTATTGTCATGTTAGTGGACATTGAAATCTAATGATGTGTTCATTTTACACACAAACTCAAACTCAAACACACACACACAAACTCAAACACACACACATACACACACACGCACGCAAACACACACACAAACAAACAACAAACACACACACACGCACACACACATACAACACACAACACACACAAAAATACACACACACATGCACACACCCAAAACACACACAATACTCACGCACACACGCATGCACACACACACAAACAACACTCACACACACACACACACAAATACACACGCTCATATTACATGCACACACGCACACGCATACAAACACAAAACACACACAATACACACGCACACACACAAACACAAAAATACACGCACAAATACACACGCACAAATACACACGCACACACACACACACACACACACACACACACATATATATATATATATATATATATATATATATATATATATATATATATAATATAGCCCAGATTTATATTCACTTCGTAAATGAAGTACGTTTTAATATTTTTATTGCCGCGGTCTCAGAAGAAAGTCTGACAAAATATTATTTTAAGAGGGTTTTATCAATGTGTTACCAATTAGACGCGTAACCTTGTTTTCTAAAACATATTTATTTAAATTTTAACAAATGGGCGCTATATTTCTTGTATCATATTTGTCGGGGCACGGGTTTACCCACACTACCACCGAGCACATCCATGGCGTGCTGTAAGAAAGCATTGAGTGTACGTTAATCACACTCCGTAATAGGGAGATAGAACACACTTCGACGATCGCCCGGGTGTGCTTTCGGGGGCCCCCATTATACTACAGTCTATCGCAGTCCTAAAAACGAACGCATGCACCATAGTGCTTAGAGGATTTCCCGGGGAGTCAAAGCGCGCCCTGCCGGGGCGCCAGCGGAAGCGCCTGATTCAATTTAGTGAACGACTATAATGCCCAATCTTATCCATAACCTATAGCACTGTTTAAAACGAACGTATGCGCCATAGTGCTCACGGGAAATCCTAAAGCGCCAAATTCGCACCCTCCTAGGGCGACAAATTCGTACCCTGCGAGGGCGCCGGAAAACGCCCCTGTATATAATTAGTGAGCGACCAAAGCAAACCATTTAGCTTAACATCTCAATCCTCTTAACATCAAAATCTTGGTTTAAAATCAGAATTACGTTTAATAATATCCTAATCCAACTTCACTATCTTAAAACAAATAATAATAATAATCCTGGTTGAGCTTCACATGGAATGAAAAGGCAGTATCTTCCATTCGTCACAAACACAAACTTTTTTACTGGATAGATTCACCGGGTCTGTCGTATTTATAGAAGCGAATTCGGACCAAGAACGTTTCTAAAATTAGCCTTGTGTCTTACTCTGTAGACTCGTGACTGCGGGTGAGTAATTTCAAATATAAACTATTTTTAGCTGGCGCTGTTTTATATGGTTAAAGTGGTTCCCTCCCATATGTTAGCTAACCCTCCCTGTGTTTTACCCCCTACATATAGATGATGCTGAGTGTTAGGATTAAAATGGTTTGCTCCTATGTGTTTATATACCCTCCCTTATATTTTATTGATCTCTTACTGAAACTTGGGAAAGAGGTAGCTCTCTTTTTCTGCTTTCTTTGTGTTTATCAAATATGCTGTAACATTAGTAGACATACACGCATACACACATACGCAGGCACACATATACACGTACACGAGCGCATACACACATATACAAACACACACAACAAACATGGATACATTATAGTGAGGATGTTGAACGGAACTTGACACCTGTTTTTAAATTAATTAATTTTGTCTAGCATTGGAGGAGTTTCTACATGTTAGTTTATACGACTTTCCTTATAGAACTTCCGCAATTCAAAGAGAACACATAACGAGTGAATCTAAGAAATCGAGTGTGTGGTCTTGAAAATGGGGTGGGGGGGGGGGGGTGTGGTTTCCTATTTCTAAAAATAAATATTATTATTTGATGCGGGGGAGGGGGTGGGGTTAATTACCGTGTTATAGTGTGTTATATTGGATGTGGAGGGGTTAATTATTGCATGTTACATTGGATGGGGGGGGGGGGATTAATTACCGTGTTATACTGTGTCATATTGGATGGGAGGGGTTACTTATCATGTAATAATGTGTTATATTAGATGACTAAGAGCTAATTATCGTGTTATAATGTGTTGTATTGGATGGGAAGTTAGTCATGACTCGTGTCACTCGTTTCGAAACTTCTGCTATTGGTTAACTGTTGACTTTTTCAGCAACATTCCCACCCCACAGTTATCATTGTCAACATAACCAATAATCTCTCTACGCATTTAAAATCATTGCCTCCACAATGAACATACCCACCACACACAAAAATCAAATCCCCCACAACCAACATACCCACCACACACAAAAAACAACCCCCACAACCAACATACCCACCACACACAAAAAACAACCCCCACAACCAACATACCCACCACACACAAAAATCAAATCCCCCACAACCAACATACCCACCACACACAAAAAACAACATCACAACCAACATACCCACCACACACAAAAATCAAATCCCCCACAACCAACATACCCACCACACACAAAAAACAACCCCCACAACCAACATACCCACCGCACACACAAATCAAATCCCCCACAACCAACATACCCACCACACACAAAAAAACAACCCCCACAACCAACATACCCACCGCACACACAAATCAAATCCCCCACAACCAACATACCCACCACACACAAAAAAACAACATCACAACCTACATACCCACCACACACACAAATCAAATCCCCCACAACCAACATACCCACCACACACAAAAATCAAATCCCCCACAACCAACATACCCACCACACACAAAAAACAACCCCCACAACCAACATACCCACCGCACACACAAATCAAATCCCCCACAACCAACATACCCACCACACACAAAAAAACAACATCACAACCTACATACCCACCACACACACAAATCAAATCCCCCACAACCAACATACCCACCACACACACAAATCAAATCCCCCACAACCAACATACCCATATCACACAAAAAACAATCCTCCCCACAACCAACATACCCACCATACACAAAAATCAAATCCCCCACAACCAACATACCCACCACACCGATTCCCACCCAGCAACTATCCTCCTCACAACAGAATTAACCTCATCCCCACCCACCACACTCATCCACACTCACACACCTTGTGTGTGTAGCCACATTTAAACACACCACCTCTGCAGAAAGTCAGAAAACAACAGAAAAGGTCAAACAGCCCCCCCCCCCCCCACCCCGCCTCTACCCCCTAGACCGCACATAGCAGGCGTGAGGTGGTTGACTGGCGCCTACGCTGGAACTCTACACTTTCTTATTGAGCACAGCTTGTCTGCATTCACAGGTAAGCTGCTCATTAGCTTGCAGGTAAATTTGTGAGAGAAGTCGTGCGAAGGGCGTAACCCTGGTATTCACTTTCACATCAGTCTTAACCTTTATAATTTTCACATTATATCCTACCTTTTTAACGTTAATAATTTTCACATTATACCCTACAAGTCTTAAGCTTTATAATTTTCACATTAGGTCCTACATGTCTTAACCTTTATAATTTTCCCATTATATCCTACATGTCTTAACCTTTATAATTTTCACATTATATCCTACATGTCTTAACCTTTATAATTTTCACATTATATCCTACATGTCTCAATCTTTATAATTTTCACATTATATCCTACATGTCTTAACCTTTATAATTTTCCCATTATATCCTACATGTCTTAACCTTTATAATTTTCCCATTATATCCTACATGTCTTAACCTTTATAATTTTCAAAATTATATATCTTACCTGTCTTAAACTTACTCTTTTCACATTCCACGTCTTAGACTTATTATTTTCATATTTTCCCACCAGAGTCTCAAATTGTAATTATTTGTATTAGTACCCGCCACTTTTAACCCTTTAGTATCAAAAAACATCACGTCTGTCACTCAGAGGCATAGCGACCCTTCCCGGCGTCCGGGGACAAACTTTTCGATTTGAACCCCCCCCCCCCCCCCCCACTCAAATTTTTCTCTACCTACATACTATTTTACAGCTTTCCACGATGAGTGCAACCATGCGAGATAGTCAATCAGGCAAACAAACAAACAAACAAACAAAAAAACAAATAAATATTCAAACATGTAAACAAACTTGACTTTTAGTAGTATAATAGATAACACCATTCTATCTCTCCAAACCTTTACACAAGTCAATATTTTTAACCCTTGCGTATTTATACAACCATTCGTATCTCTCCTACTATTAAATACAAATCCACAAATTTTCACCCTTTGAATCCTATTTTGCCAGTAATAGCAGCACAACAACACCGTCTATATTCGTGTTTGTCAACAGGTAAGGTCATGAGAACACTACATAGTGGTTTCTGATTTGGGAGGTCAACTCCTGCTTATGTATGGGGAAGAAAAGGTTTCAGACAAATGTACTGTCTATATAAATAAAATAATATTTGCGGTATATGAGGGAAATGTACAATCTATATAAATAAAATGTTATTTGAGATGTATCAGAGTACTGTATTCCTTATAAATAAAATGTTATTTGTGATTTCTCGGAGAAACGTACAAGGGGTCGTCCATAAATGACGTCACACTCGTAGGGGGGAGGGGGATTCCGTAATTTTGTGACGGTGTGTGATGAGGGGGAAGGGGGGGGGGAGTTAGATGGTGCGACCTCACACTTTAGCATTATAAAAAAGCAATGTTAGAAAACATAATTTTTGTCGTTATTTCGCGTTTTAGAATACTGTTTTAATAAATTACAACAGGAATTGATTAAAATACTCTATTTCGAGAAAGATTTTGGAAAAATTTCGATGTTTTAAGGAAAAATCAACTGCAATTTTGAGGGGGGGTTGTAGGCTGAGGTGTGACATCATTTTAGGGGGGGGGTCTGGCTTTTTGCGACGATGTGTGTCGGAGGGGAGGGGGAGGTAAAAATCGTCAAAAAAAGCGTGACGTCATTTATGGATGACCTCCAATCTATATAAGTAAAATGTTATTTCAGATATATGAGAGAAATGTACAATTTATATAAATAAAATATTTTTTTTTGCGATGTATCAGAGAAATATACAAGAATTTAAATAAAATAATGTTTGCAATGAATCGGCTGCATCACTGTAACATCCTGGACTTTGTTTTAATTGCTTGACCACGGGAAACATTGAGAAAAATTCTTGGAATTGTCAATAACTGTAAACATTTGGCAAAAATGCCATTAAAGGTCCAAGACGTGACAGGCTGTGTGTACTGTTTTGTTTTCGTCCATTTTTTTTTGCGCATTTTCTCAGTAGTGGATCTAGGTCATATTTTCTAAAATTGATCACTATCATTTTATCTTGATAAAAATACCCCCCCCATCCCTGCTCTCTGTCCCCACTCCTCGGCATCTCCATTTGTTTTTTAACATTTGTGTTTATGTTGCGATTATTGTTGTATGTTTGTAAACAAGTATTTAAAAACCTAAGTAACGGAGAGGCTATAATAATATACAGATGGCAGATCAATGATTACAAACAGAAGAATAAATCTCGTAGGTTGTAGATTCTATATTTACATTCCCGCTGTATAATGCTTAATGCTCTCATATAGAATTGTGTATTTATTTTATTTTAACGTAGCAAGGTAAACAAAAAGCATAGACTTTTTTACACCTAATTATTTTCAATGCAGTTTACACTTTTAATAAAATATTTCAATGTTATAATTATATAATTTTATAATTACTATTATTTTTTTTAAAAGGTATTCATGACAAACCTACATATACACTGATAAGAATACGTACCTATATTCAGTAAACAGGTTTGACGATATCAAGAAATGTTCATTTGATTTAAACCCCTGGTTCCAGTAATTAAGATAAAACAACACCTGGCAAAATGAACTAATCCACACCAAAACAAAAGATGATGCGCTCAGAACTTAAGTACACACATCAACAAACCCGCTACCTCGAAGTACAGACAACAGGTATCAGTGAGGTGGGTGAGGGGTGGGTGAGGGGTAGGTGGTGGGAGGCGGTGTGTGTGTGTGTGTGGAGGCGGGGTAGCGATAGTGGGTACCGGGCTGGCATCAACAGGCAATTGCGTGTGCGCGTACGTGAGGATAGGGTCTTTTAGGTAGCCTGACATTTGTACGTTGTGTGGTGTGTGTGTGGGGTGTGTGTGTGTAGGTGGGTGTGTGTGGTGGGGGGCACTCACATAATGAGGACAGGGTCCTTTAGGTAACCCGGTATGTGTACGTGTGTTTGTGGTGTGTGTGTGTGGTGTGTGGGGGTGTGGGGCACTCACAAGATGAGGATAGGATCCCTTAGGTAGTTCGGTTTTTGTACGTGTGTTTGTAGTGTTTGTGTGTGTGTGTGTGTGTGTGGTATTTGTGTGTGGGTGGGGGGTGTTAGAAGTGTGTGACACTTACAAGCTGAGGATAGGGTCATTTTGGTAGTCTAGCATTTGTACGTGTGTGTGTGTGTGTGGTGTCAGTGTGTGGTGGGAGTGAGGTGTTTGATGTGTATGGCACTCAAAAGACGATGAAAGGGTCCTTTATGTAGCCTAGCATCAGTAAGTCTGCTTATGAGGGCGGGATCATGATTATTAGAGCTTTAGCTAGACTAGCATTGGTCTGTGTATATTGTCTACGAGTGTGGGCGTAAGGCTTACTCACGCGGTTTATTAAAAGACCTTTTGCTTAGAGAGTTTTCGAATGTATAATTTGTGTGAGTGTAGGTGTGTTTCCTAGAGTTCCTATTGTGTGTGGCTTATATTATCGATGGTTGGACGTTGGCATGCGTGCTATGGCCTTACATTTTGACACATTACCCGCCAGAGCTTTAAGACACGAAGATGGGCTGTGTTCTAAATATATTACTGGGTACTTATAACTATAATGAGATTTGTTACTACCTAATCAATTTTTAATTCACTATAAAAATACACTCATTTAAAAATTAATTTACCATAAAAAGATATAAAGTTAAGATCATCACAATTCACAATATCAACATTTATTCCTCATAAACAAATAAACTTTATATTCAGAGTTATTCTCACAAACTTTAATGAAAATAAAATACGGGTCGAGTCGACAAAGCTCATGGTCGCTAAGCCGAAAAGTCTCGAGTTCAAACCCTCGGGCAGAAATCAACCAACTATGGAAGCAAATCCAAAAAGAAAAGCATGCTGAAATCGGAGTCAATAAACAGTTGACACTCATACTTAATTGCGTTGGAGGGGATCATGTTTTTAATTTGGCACTAATGACCATTCGAAAGTGCAGCACAGAAACACAACGAAATCTAAAAACAAGGGCTTTTAACTATCTAGATATTTAATTAAAAAAAAAACAACAACAAACAACCAAGTTATATTGTAGAAAAATCCCTGTGCTATGTGAAAATATTCAATTGGATGTTTTCCTTACTGAAACATCAAACATATAAAAGTCTACAGGCAGAAAATCTACGAAATAATTCCCCACCTCCCAGAGGCGTAGCGACCCTTCCCGGCGCCCGGGGACAAAAATTCGATTTGCACCCCCCCTCAAGATTTCGATTTGCACCCCCCCCCCTCAAACTTTCGATTTGTAACCCCCTCAAGATTTCGATTTGCACCCCCTCCCTCAAACTTTCAATTTGACCCCCCCTCAACCTTTCAATTTATTTTTAAAACCCATTTTGGCGCCCCCTAATGTCGGCGCCCGGGGACATATGCCCCCCCCCCCCGCCCCCTCGCTACGCTACTGCCACCTCCCCCCGTCTCTGTCTATCTCTGACGAAAAACAAAAACAACTGCACACATAATCCCCGGATAATGATAGCGAAACAACAAGGTGGGCGTATACACATAGCAGTTAGTGAGAGTTACCTAACGCTGGATTACATCACTACATTCAGAGTGAGTGCACGGTGCGTAAACGATGTTGTTGTCATGGTTACGTTTGGACCAGGTAATTTACGTAAACTTGTTAAAAAAAATAGTTGATAGTAAAGTTTTCTAGATTGAAATATTTTTGTTTACCAGTGGAGATGTTTCCACATCCGTTAAACACGTTAGAGTAAGTTCTTAGAAAACCAGGACCGGTCATCCTTTAAGCATGCCAATATTGGCACAAACAAAACCACTTGACCAAATCACCATTTCACGTTACACTCACACCAACACCCCCACAAAACAAACTCACCAAAATCATCACTTCCCATTACGCCTCACCACAACTCAACAACAAAATCTTCATTTCACATTATACCACACCACAAAAATCACAAAATCACTTCCCACTACACCACACCACAACTCAACAACAAAATCTTCATTTCACATCATACCACACCACAAAAATCACAAAATCACTTCACACCACACCACACCACACCAACTAAACCATCACTTTCCATTACACTACACCACACCAACCAAACCATCACTTGACATTACACCACACCACACCAACCGAACCATCACTTCACACTACACTACACTACACCACACCAACCATACCATCACTTCTCATTGCACTACACCACAGCAACCAAACCATCACTTCCCATTACACCACACCACACCAACCATAGCATCACTACCCATTACACCATACCAACCAAACCATCACTTCACATTACACCACATTACACCACACCAACCAAACCATCACTTCACACTACACTACACTACACCACACCAACCATAGCATCACTTCCCATTACACCAAACCACACCAACCAAACCATTACTTCACATTACACCACACCACTGCAACCAAACCATCACTACCCATTACACCATACCAACCAAACCATCTCTTCACATTACACCACATTACACCACACCAACCAAACCATCACTTCACATTACACTACACTACACCACACCAACCATAGCATCACTTCCCATTACACCACACCACACCAACCTCACACAAACCACCCCCACCTCTCCTCCCCCCATCCTAAAAATAAAATACCACCACACACTCGAGAAGTGATCACATGGCCACCACACATTCTTGTTTACGTACTTTTAGAACCGTCACGTGACGTGTTCGTACCGTGAGAAAGGTTATGCAATCGCTGCACATTTTACCTGCTCCGTGGGGGCGGGAAAACTTCACCTGGTGGCACACGGCCCTGCCACAACACAGCCACTGCGCATGCGCAAACAAAATCGTCATGGGGATTTTGTAAAGTGCTCTAGCAGACGAAAACTGTTTTGTTGATGGTAGATTTGATGTGGGGAAGAAAATCCAAAAAAAAAAAAAAAAAAAAAGTGATCTCCCTAAACTTTCTCGCACATTTCTGTTGACATGTTTTTTCTTAAATCAATATCTAAATATTTAAATTATTTTTAAATAGAAAATAATCGCATAGAAAAAGTAATTGCGCACCAAATGAACAGCAAACAACGTGCGAAAAAAATTAGTGCTTTATAAAGAAAACCTTGATTGATTTTTTTATAGTTAATTATTCATCTAATTAAGTAACATTTTATTTTACTATATTTTGTCTGCGAGTCTTGATTTACGTGAAAAGTTATAAATAAATCGGTCCGGTAAAAGTGTTCAATATTTTGCTCGTAAGTTTCCGCTTACGACGGACACTAGATAGTTAAATGATTAATTATGTTTTTTTGGAGACATTGTAAATATCGTAAAGTACTATTTCCGGTCATCGGAAATCGCTCAAAATTTATTTGACCGAACCCAGAGAATAAGCTTTTACTATTTTATAAAACTTCGTCTACATAACAGAAACAGTATTCAAGTTTTATATAAGCTTTTGAGAAACCGAAAGTATAATAATTTACAGCGGTAATCGCCCGAAGCTGATAGAAAACTACAAATATGATACAATCTTCATATAGGAAATTGCTTCAACCTAGCTGAAACGGTACTCAAATTATCGTGCTCGCGTACAGACATTACTTAGGCCACAGCTACACATTTTAATATTCATCCAGTCGTTTGTGATCTTCCGTGCCGGCTCTCTGATAATGTTATAGGCACTATTTATTTTTCTTGTTATCTCCCTTTTTAATTTTAATCTTGTTATCTCCCCTTTTACTTATTTTAATTTTAAAAGCTTTTATTAAAATGATTTTTACATCTAATTTGATTTTAAATTATAAGATCTTGCAAGTTATCCATGGGTTTAACTATTATTCCAAGATTTATGGAGTCCCAAACCTTCTAACAAAACCCAGGAACACAAAAAGCCCTAATAATTATAATAATAATGATGAGAATAACAACAGTAATAATAATAAAAAAAAAAGTGTATCTTAAGGGGAACAATCGAAAAAAAAAGAATCACAATTCTTCTTTTACGCATTACCTCCCCTTCAAACTATTTCGGGCTAAAGTCGGCTAAACTTACATGGATGCGCTTTGTCAATATTGAGTTTCGTCAACATTGTGAAATATCATTCAAAATTACCAAAGTCGGTATAGTCTTGCTGAAAACACAGACACCAACATCTTAAATACAAATGTGTACCGAATCTTATCACGTGACTCAGTTCAACAAACGAAAGTAAACAAATAGTTTTAGATCACAGAATTTATTTGCTGTAACAATTTGTTTTCGTTGCTAAAAATAGTAGATCGCAATGTTTATTTGCCAGAACAATTTACATTTTCTTCTCAACATCGTGTAAGCAAAAAAATAAAAAAAGGCATACAAATAGAACTATTTTCGGTATTGGTAATGGAAAAAAATATTTGAACATCTTAATAAATCTGAAAAAAAAAGATTTTAAAAAATATTTTGAAATACGAAGCCTAATCAATTTTTAACATTTAAAAGAAAAAAAGTCAGAGCAAAAGTGAAAACGATATAAAGATCACAGAGATTTGTTTTTGATATATGTACAACTGAGGTATATTTACTAATGAAGTTGTAGAAACAAAAAAAAATTGTCAGAATTTAATCTTCTCTCGGGCGTTGTTTTGTTATTTTTAAAGGAAAATAAACTTTTGTGTTACTCTTCAATGTGCAGTTTGTTATGTTAGTATACAGATGCATCCTGGACATTCAGCGTGAGACAGCCAGGTGAGGTGGCATACACCAAGATAAAATAACCCAGTATGTTTTCGTAACACACAGCTAGGGCTGGACCAATCACTGTTCGTTTACTGCTAAACATTGCCTGCAGTGTTTCTTTCCCCCCCCCCCCCCCCCCCGAAGGGAATCTACCCCCCCTCCCCGAACAACCGAACGAAATGGAATTAATAATGAAAATATATACTTTTAACAGTGTCCGCCTTCCCCCCTTCCCCCCCCCCCCGGAAATTTTAATCCGCCCCCCCGAAAATTTCAAGTGCCCCCCACCCCCCCCCCCCCCCCCGGAGAAAAAAGTCTGGAAGAAACACTGGCTGGACAGCACGAGGCAGTCAGGAAAGGTTGCACACACCAATATAAAATAACCCAGTATTTTTTTGTAACACATATTTTGGGCTTAACAAATCGATGTCAATAACACTGTTCGTTTAACTTTTACTTTGCTAAATTATACCTGGTATAATTCTACCTTTACGAATCCCGAAAAAATAAAGCCAAAAAAATCTAACGAAATTTAATTTTAGATTGATATTTCGAGTGACCTTTCACACTACTTTGTAGAAAAATTACTTTTTGTTCTAAGAAATAGTGTAAAATCTACTAAATATATCCTAAATTTTTTAAGACAGTCTCTCTATAAAATCTGAGACATGAAAAGAAAACATGGCTTTTACGAAATGAACAAAATAAAGCTAAAAAAAAAACTATAACATTGTATAGATTTCAGTTTCTCTTAAAAATCTGAATTCACGAAAAGAAAACTTAGCTTTTACGAAATGAAAAAAATAAAGCTAAAAAAAAACCAATAACTTTGCATAGATTTCAGTCGCTCTATAAAATCTGTGACATTAACAATATTTAACTACAGTTTTGCTACGCGAAAAAATCTAAGATACCCTCATGTTTTGTAGACCCTGATTAAAAATTGCCTGTGAACATTGAGCAATTGAAAACATTTTGCGTTGAGCACTCTTAGTCATCTGCCCTAAACGTTCCAAGTTGTTGTTTTTTTCGTTCGATCAGTTCTTGTTTTTACGTATCCAGTCTAAGTAGTACGGCACGTTGGTGTATATCCCGGGCTCGCCAACCTTGGCGCATCCGTTGCCATTGGAGACGATACCGTAAACAAAGTAAGCTGGTCCATTTGCCGAACTTTGAACACACATGAGAGGCCCACCGGAATCACCCTAAGACATTCAAAACCAAGTATTAGTTGTCATACAAAATGTTGTTTTTAAACAGCAAAAAAAAAAAAAGCATCAATATTATGTTAAATTAAATTGAAAATTAAACAAAAAAAAAATCATCAATATTGTGCTAAAATAAATTGTAAATTAAAAACAGAAAAACAACAATCACCAATATTTTGTTAAATTTATTTGTAAATTAGTAGTGACGAAGTTTAAATTGAACTTATTAAACTCTAATGATTTACCGATACTTCTTTCCCTCTATATTTTAAATGTGTCAGCTAAATCACTAAGGCTTTAAGTAATTCAACGTCTGTTAGTTTCACGAAGCAGTTTTCGATAGCTAAATTAGAAACAATCTTCAATTTATTATTAATTTCAGCGAGCTTATTTCCCAACTGGGTAATAGTAAAATTAGGTAAAAATCAAATGACTTTATGGATGATCGTTTTTTTCCCGATATTCTCTAAACACCAGCCAATACTTTTTATAGGTGAATACGTATATTTACAAATTGTAAAAAAAACAACAACAAAACAACAATTGAACTGTACCCCACAGGCATCCTTCCCTCCAGAGGTTCCATTTGCCGCACAAATGGTACCCTCGTTCAAGATGGTAGACAGGATCCCGGGCGGCTGGGCCGTCTGGTTAAAGATCTTCAGGCACTGAGTCGAGTTGTAGACATCCAGTTCCGTCTTCATCAGCACTTCTGGGTACATGTTGCCTGAAAGTACCACACGCGAGGTTTATGTGGTCGTTTTTTGTGGCGTTTTTTGATGCTTGATACTTTACAAAAACAAACGAAGAGTATACTGGATAGCAGAGGTGTAGCGAGGGCGGGGCGGGGGTGCGGACTGCACCGGGTGACACCATTTGGGGGGAGGGAGTGACACCAAGAGGAATAATTGCAAAATGTACAGTTCCATTTGTATGGTATTTAAATTATAGGCCTATGTAGGCCGACACACACACACACACACACACACACACACATATATATATATATATATATATATATATATATATATATATATATATATATATATACTTTGTTTCTTTTGGGGGAGGGGTGTTGGTGACACCACGAAGTGTTGCACTGGGTGACACCAGACATAGCAACGCCACTGCTGGATAAAAAAATAATGATAATGATAAAAAATAATATGAAGTGTTCAAGTTTCCTTCAGTTTGTTTTACATTTCTTAACGAGATGGATCTTTGTTATTGCTTTTGACAATGAACAATGGTTAAACCAGCTTAAGTATTCCTCTTTAGACCTAATGATATATTGGACAGATGAAGTAGAGTTTATATGTCTCTTGACTTCGGTATTTGAAGGGATAATGTGGTCAGCACTATGCCCAGTCGCCTTTACTTTCCCTAGCGTGAGTCAGGTACTAATCGGAGCTGGGTGGACTCAGACGTGAACTAAGATAATTAAACTTGCTTATTTTATTGTGTTTATATTTATCGGCATATTAAAAAAAAATCTATATTTTCCAGTCGGCAAAACATGTTTTGAAAATATTGTAATATAAATTTCTAGCTTCTTGTTATAAAAAATTAATATTTCTATCGCTTTATTAGTTTAGATTAACTGCAAGCCAAATACATCGTCTCTATTTTATTTTCGAACAGAAGCCTTTAAATCGAAAGGTAGATAACCGTGTAAGTCCTTAGACCAGCCGAATTTACCTGAGTTAATGTAGCCCCAACCTGCTCCCCTCCCATCTCTGTAGATAACCGTGTAAGTCCTTAGACCCGTAGAGTTTACCTGAGTTAATGTAGCCCCAACCGGCCACCCTCCCATCTCTGTAGATAACCGTGTAAGTCCTTAGACCAGCCGAATTTACCTGAGTTAATGTAGCCCCAACCTGCTCCCCTCCCATCTCTGTAGATAACCGTGTAAGTCCTTAGACCCGTAGAGTTTACCTGAGTTAATGTAGCCCCAACCGGCCACCCTCCCATCTCTGTAGATAACCGTGTAAGTCCTTAGACCAGCCGAATTTACCTGAGTTAATGTAGCCCCAACCTGCTCCCCTCCCATCCCTGTAGATAACCGTGTAAGTCCTTAGACCAGCCGAATTTACCTGAGTTAATGTAGCCCCAACCTGCTCCCCTCCCATCCCTGTAGATAACCGTGTAAGTCCTTAGACCAGCCGAATTTACCTGAGTTAATGTAGCCCCAACCTGCTCCCCTCCCATCCCTGTAGATAACCGTGTAAGTTCTTAGACCCGTAGAGTTTACCTGAGTTAATGTAGCCCCAACCTGCTCCCCTCCCATCCCTGTAGATAACCGTGTAAGTCCTTAGACCAGCCGAATTTACCTGAGTTAATGTAGCCCCAACCTGCTCCCCTCCCATCCCTGTAGATAACCGTGTAAGTCCTTAGACCAGCCGAATTTACCTGAGTTAATGTAGCCCCAACCAGCCACCATACACCTTGCCTCTGCCTTGTGTTCAGGTCGAGGTAAACAGGCAAAGTTCACGTACTCGGACCATTGGAGTGGCGACTCTAGGGTTATCATCGCTATGTCGTTATCTGCAACAGGAGGTAAAAAAATGCATGTTTTTTTTCGGATTTAGTCATTTTGTTTACCTTAGTATTTAAGCAATCATATACTTTATTTTACAAGTCATGTTCAGCATTTCCCCAGTCAATTTATACACGTCTATAATTTTTTTTATTTCCCCCGTCACCTACCGTACATCATCAGTCAACTACTTTATTTCATCAGTCAACTACTTTATTTCATCAGTCAACTACTTTATTTCATCAGTCAACTACTTTATTTCATCGGTTAACTTTTTTTATTTCATCAGTCAACTACTTTATTTTATCAGTCAACTACTTTATTTCATCAGTCAACTACTTTATTTTTCACCAGTCAAGTAGGCCTACTTTTTTTCATCAGTCAACTTTTTAATTTCATCAGTCAACTACTTTATTTCATCCGTCAACTACTTTATTTCATCAGTTAACTATTTTATTTCACCGGTCAACTACCTTTCCTCCATTCATGAAGATCATGTTCTGTTCTCCGGTCATTAAAAAACAAACACAACCAATTTCTTTTAACGCAATCGGGCATTTTTAGGCCTAAACGACTTACTGGTGGTTTTCTGATTGTAGTTCTCGTGGAGTTTATAGGATTTGACACGAACCCTCTGCGCGCCCACCTCTGAGACGTCGGGGCTCCGGTTGTATTTGCCTGCTACAACTTCGTATTTTGCTGAGTCGCTGAAACAATGATGGGTGAGATATAACGTTGGACAGCGTGGCCTAGCGTTAGAGCGTTAGACTGCTAACCTGAATATCTTGAGTTCGAATCCGGATTTAAATAAGTTGAACGTCACTGAGTCCACCCAGCTCTGATAGGTAACTTACTCATGTTAGGGACAGTAATGGCGGCTGGGCATAGTGCTAACCATACTAGCCCTTCATATGCCGAGGTCTCGGAAACAGGTAAACTCTACTTCACTTGCATGATGGACCGTCAGCTTCGAAAAGGGAACTTTTTACTTAAAGTTCAATAACAAAATGGGGAGATAACAGTGTAGTAGTTAATCTGGTGAAGGGGTTGGGGGGGGGGGAGGGTTTATTTGACAAGGTGTGTGTCTTGCTATCGACCATTACTCCCTCATAATAACAAAAACACAACTCACATGCGTTTATACAGACAGTAACAGTCAACTCACGTGCATGGCATGCTGGTAAAAAAAGTCACACAAGATGAACTCACCTAAAGAAACAGTGAGCGGCGGTCAGCAGGTGCGTGTAGTCTAAGATTATGCCGCTGCATTCTAATACCCCGTTGACCAGGAGCATGGCTATCCAGGGGAACTCCCCCCTCTCTGTGGCCGTACCCCCGTAGATCTTAGAGAACACCGGCACAACGCCATTACTGCAGGCTCTCTCTGTGGAGGCTGTCGAGGCTGAAATATGGACGGAGTTTTACTGTCGGAAATAATGTTTATGTTAAGGTTAGATATGAGGAAGAATACGATAAATCTCAATAGAGCTAGAAATTTGAATACCTAAAAACATCGGTATAGGAAAGAATAAGAAATCTCAAAAGAGCTAGAAATTAAAATACCGAAAACATCACTATGGGAAAGAATACGATAAATCTCAATAGTGCTAGAAATTAAAATACCGAAAACATTAGTATGGGACAGAATACGATAAATCTCAATAGAGCTAGAAATTTCAAGACGGTGGAGATGGATAGCCTGTGTGACTGTGTGATGAGGTGAACGATAACTTGTACTACGAGACAAGGTATATAGGGAATCAACAAGGCAGAGGCGTAGCGACCCTTCCCGGCGCCCGGGGACAAACTTTAGATTTGCACCACCCCTCACGAAGAATTCGATTTGCACCCCCCCTCAAACTTTCGATTTGCACCCCCTCAAGCTTTCATTTTTATTTTTCCAACCCATTTTGGCGCCCCCTAAGGTCGGCGCCCGGGGACATATGTCCCGTCCCCCCCCCCCTCGGTACGCTACTGCAACAAGAATAAAAAGGGGGGACACCCAAAGATTTTAATTTTTCAGTTTTAACCCATTTCTGGGACCTCTGTACTTTCCCATACTGCTGTGTACGTTAAAAGAAAGAGCGGTGTAACAAAACTTGATAAAATGTCCTATACCTGGCGGCTCTTTGTTTACTATCGGCATTTCAGTTGTAGTAATCTTCTGTAAATCTGTTTGCAAATCTGAAACTGATGTAAACAATAATAAAATTAAATTTTAAAATTCACATGCACTGAAAATTAAAAAAAAAATTTTTCTTGCTTTAATAAAAGCATTCATCGCTAAACGGTGTGTTTTCAAGCGCGCAAAATAGTTAATTTCATCTTGCAATTTGGTTCATTACATTTGTAAATCTTGGGCTGATTATATTTAGCCCAGGTTGTATTTTATGTTTGATTTAAATCAACCAATGATCGACTTACCTGGACAACACGTGACTCGAATAGAGAAAGCGACGGTGGTGATGAGGCAAGACTGGGTTATGTACAGGTCTGGACATTTGTTTACAAATAGACAATCTGTGGACATTGTAAAATTACATCAGGTTCTGGTATTTTTTTATTATGAACAAAATTTGAAAAAAAAGATGTTGAAGAAAACTAGCCTGGACATAACGCAGATACTATGTGTTTTTGGTTTTTTATTTTGAAGCGACGAATAATATAGACTCATTTCTGGGTTTGTTAAAAGAGCAACGCTTTTGGTCATTTTGCCTGACAAATAAATGAGAGAGGATCTAAGCTTGTATGCCATTCTCAGTTAATACTTTACTGGAAGGCCATAAAAAATCAATATCACAATGAATACACATTGTAACTATGTTTTAGTTTGGGCGAATGAACCAAATAAAAGTTAACTAAACGTCCGGCTTGTATTCCTTACACTATCCTATCTTCTGGGAGTTTGCGATGGTTTGTAAAAAGATCTAATTAGCTGCTAGTTCACGGAACACAAACTAATTAGGAGCTCGTTAAGATTTCGATTTATAACCACTTACTACCTACAGTACTGTAATTTATGGACACTACAAACAATTCAATGGGCGTGGTCAAATAGTATAGAGTTCGGCTACTAGGACGTCCTTGAGTCCACCCAGCTCTAATGGGTACCTGACTCACGTCGGGGAAAGTGAAGGTGACTTGGCATAGTGCTGACCACAATATCCCTTTATATGCCGAGGTAAAAAAAATATATGAATTTTACTTAAACTTCGGGTCTGAAAGGAAGCTTTAATTTTTTTTAACCCAAGCTTCAAGAGTTTATGAACACTAACCATCCAAATGTGTACAATTGTGATTAATTTGTAAATGGGTGAGAGTGTGTCCTTGTGAATGTGTAAATGTGGGATAGTGTGTGTGTGTGTGTGTCTATGTGAATGTTTAATGGTCTAGATGTGTGTATGTTTGTCTATGTGAGTCAATGTGAATGTGTGTATATGTCATATTGAGTCTTTGCGAGCATTTATCATAATGTCAACATCCTTTTTTTGTTAACATGTAATGCCCCCTTCACAAATGATTTTTCACAGACGCTGTTTGTAAAGTGAATTTCGCAATATTTTAATATGTTAAAATATCATGTCGAGTCAACAATTTAGGGGCTTCTAGGGTCACCGCCCACCTCCCCATTTTTTAACCCGGCTCTAACCTTAACTAAAATAACTTTTTACATCCCTAATTCCGTACACTCCATAACAGTGGCGTCACCAGGCTGGGTGTCACCCGATGCGGTTACAAAGGGTTTCCACCCTACCCCCCTACCCCCAAGCAACACTTTTGCATTTTCGATCTTGGTACTCCTCTCCCCCTACTACTTTTCTATCTGAGCTGAATAAAAAATTATTTTGATAGTAACTTTTATATGATTTTTTTTGCATGTCATCCGGTTCGGCGCCCCCCCCCCCTCACCCCGCCTTCTGACGCCACTGCTCCACAATAACCATCTCGTTGATTAAATATACCCCCCCCCCCCCCCACTACCAGCCGTGGACGCTCGTGTCTGACATGGGAAATGTGAATTTAACCCGGGCTTAGAATAAGACCCGCCCCATATGCAACGTGTATGACGTCAACGACAAGAAACACCCCAGTAAAGCCTGGCCTGAACTAAAATAGTGGAAGTAAATCTTAGCGCAACGGTTCTCATTCCGCGCCCATGGTCTCACTGTAAAATAAAGTGCAGTACTCATTCAGACCATTAGGGCAAGTTGAAAGATGTAAGTAGTCTTCCTTATGGTTCCCTGAACCAGAATTATCAAAGTAAGCGTTCAGCAGTTTACCTAACATTTCTCTACGTTGATGTAGATCCCAATCCGAGTTTAGAGTGCTCAAAGATGTTCTACTGTCTATATCTCGTCAACGACCTCGAGATTTTCCTATTTATATTGCCCTTTACTGCTCGGCCACCCCTCCCATCCTGTCATAATTGTATTACAGTCAAAAGATTTAAAGCCTAATCACTTCATCGCTTTAAGAACATACACTAAGCTGTTTAAATAAATTATGTACTTCTTATCTACATACTGAAGCCGTATAAAGGGATGATTATTTCTACACGCAATTCTTTAATCTATTGCGTGTGTTTAGGGTTTTGTATATTACTATATATTTGTAATATATATATATATATATATATATATATATATATATATATATATATATATATATAGTTTATATATATATATATATATATATATATATATATATATATATATATATATATATATATATATATTTATATATATATATATATATATATATATATATATATATAGCTTATATATATATACTAAAGTGAACGTCATTCCTCGTACAGGCTGATGGTTTCAATTGTGACAAAATTGGGTAATTAAATCATCAAAATGCAGGTGAGAAGCATCTCACATACAGGTGATACCCGGCTCTGGAGGGTGTCCATGTGACTAAAAATAGAAACATCTGAACAGTTTCCGGGTCACAAGTTGGTGGTTAGTTCAGCGATTTGGCTACATTCAAGGGGAGAAAAACAACAAGACTAAAGGGACATAACCTTGTTTGTCGAAATGGAAGTAAATGGTGTAGGGCACAGACTGATCTAATTATCTAAGGGTCACTATGACTTATATTTCAAAGGGCCTGTTTACATTATACAGCTAAAAGTAAAATGTTTAGTCCTAAAATACCCAAGTCTTTACATGCAACCATTCAGCCTTCACTTAGTCACCATATTGCGTACGGAAATATTGGGCAGAGCTCAAGATTTATATTAATATTTCATCACATAACAGTACAATAATATAACATACAATTGATTTTTAATTGATAGATGCTAAAATTATATTAAATCAAGTAATGCTAAATGGTGACAGACCAATATAGTCTGTAACGGCTACTTACATTTCTCCAAGTATCCATTGGAAAGGTCCTCTAACATTTTATCCCCTAGCACGTCACAAGAGGAGATCAAAAAGCGCCAGTAAGACGCCACAAACAACTTGTAGTTGGAGCCCAGGACGTACCGGAGGTCGTCGATGGACCTGGCCGTCTCCACCTTGGTCAAGGCGTGTACATTGGTACACACCAGCAGTGCGTACACGGTCAAGGTGACTAGTCTGGTGGTCATTGTTGATGTGTACACTGATGTCGGTTGTTCAAGAGATGGATTTTTTTCTGTCGAATGCTGCCTTACGTTGTTGGAAGCTGATGAATGCTGGTGTTCTTAAAATGATGTTACCAAAACCATTGCATAATATTGAATAGAGATGAAAAGCCGCTGAATGTAGTTGGTTACGATCGGATAGCTCTGAAAGCTGTAGGGCGGTGTTTTGGTTGGATGTTGTCGTAGATATTTTTATCATGTCACAGATAACCTAACTCTGCTGGCTAAAGCGGTTGTTAGTTGGATGTTTGATTAACACGGACGCATGGTGAGTTCGAATATCAGTGGTGCTGAAAGTTTCCTATTTTTACATCTGAAACAGAATGGTGAAAGTAGTGCAATATCCACTTAGTATTCGTGGAAACTCATACATATTTTCTCCGTGACCTTCAACATACATCTATTTAATTTACTTTAAGTAAAAATATTAAAGCATAAAGTAGATTTTATGGTTTAAAATAAGTGGGATGTGTGCTGTCTTTCTTTCTGTTTTCTGTTATTTGTAAGTTTAAAATCACAATAAAATGTAGACAGAATCACAATCTATCAATTATCTATCAATATATATATATATATATATATATATATATATATATATATATATATATATATATATATATATATATAATAGCACCGTATACGCCAATATCTTAGATACAATGAAATTCTAAGGAAATAAAAGAATTTAAAATAGATGTTGTGCTCTATATCCGCACAGCGGAAATTATAGATACCTTAATTTGAAAGTAATTATTCATACGTAAAGGTATTTACCTTTCCATATATATATATATATATATATATATATATATATATATATATATATATATATATATATATATATATACCGTATATAGCAGTAAACGTATAATAAGAAAAAGGTGATGTAGAAACCTCTACTAATCCTTCATTTGACAATTTTACACTTAAGAAAACACGTCCTTACCAGCATCCAATAGATCCAATAGACCCAATAGATCCTACACCTGTGACCAAAACATTCCAACTGCCGCTACACCTGTCGCCAGCCAGGATGTAAACTGTCCCAGATTTGTCACCTTCGCATCTTTCATCTTTGGGAATTTTATTTTTTGCGCATGCGTACTATGATGTAACCCCTTTTGAATTCAATTATTGTACACATTGCGGGTGCTTCTATAAATATTGAAAACGGAAGATTTGTACGGTGTGGGTTTTACTATATTCTTTGATGGGAATTTTTTCCGTCTATTTATAGACATGATTCTGAGATAAAGTAATCATCGACTATCACGATTTTTTGACAAAGGGCTCTCTTTATGATAAATGGGTAAATTAAAATAGTAAATACAGATTCACACTTTACAAATTAACAGTTTGATTTATTAATACTTGATTGATCTTTATTTTAAATATTCGCATGGTGTTTTTCTCTTTATTTTCATTTTCTAATACGAAACATTTAGTTATGAGGGGAAGGATAATTTCCATTACACACATATATGGGGTCATCCATAAATAACGTCACACTTTTTTTGACGATTTTTACCCTCCCCCCACTCCCCTCCGTCACACATCGTCACAAAAAGCCAGACCCCCGCCCCCCCTAAAATGGCGTCACACCTCCGCCTACAACCCCCCTCAAAATTGCAGTTGAATTTTTCTTAAAACATCGATATTTTTCCAAAATCTTATCAGAACTGTTAACATAGAGAATTTTGATCAATTCCTATTACAATTTATTAAAACCGTTTTCTACAACGCAAAATAACGTCTACAAATAGTTTTCTAACATTGCTTTTTAATAATGGAAAAGTGTGACGTCGCACCATCTGAACCCCCCTCCCTCTCAACACACACCGTCACAAAATTACGGACCCCCCTCCCCCCTACGAGTGTAACGTCATTTATGGACGACCGCTATGTGTACAAACGGATACCACCAAATGTGTATGTATGTATATATGTAAATATATGTATATTTGTATATATCAGTAGCTATACCAGTTACACACTCACCCTTACACTTACTTCCTACCGTACGGGGTCTAGGTAATCCAACAGTAAATCCACTAATGCCCACTGAAAACGAACAAACTGTCCCTGTATAAGAAACAGGCGACTATAGCCATACTCACACAAAGGGAAGGAACACTATCTCAATCAAACCAAGAGGACAACCTACTCGTACACTTACAAGAGTTGTCGAGCCTGAAACTCGTACTTAAAAAAAACCTCCACCGATTTGAATGACTTAAAAAAAAAGTATTTGCTTGGAAACTTCATCGCAAACACAACCCGATAGGCGAAATATGTCAATAGAAGCGGGGTGAAAGCGAGGGGCCAAATACTAATGGCCTGATTAAACACACGAGCACTGCATCGTACAGGTAAGTTCTAGACAGGTAGGTAGACAGGTAGATAGGTAGACAGGTGCAATTCATTTGTGGTGATCAAGAATTTTTAAGAGATCTTTTGTCCATGAGATATTTTGTCCTAGAGATAATTTGTCCTGAGATCATTTGTCATGGAACCCGATACTAGTGCTTGAGTCGAAAGAAATCTAGTATAGGAATTCTTAGTGCTTTGATACATTGTATTGTACAAGAATCACGAACTTGTGAGAGGCAATTAACATCATCGTGAGCAGAAATCGTCAAGCTGGAAAACTAAGAAAATATTTTTAAAATAAATTTAAAAAGTTAAATGTTTAACAAAGCTTGTTTTGATGACTCAACTTTACGTAAACACTGCACACAAGATTAGACACGTTGGACAACTGTGTACTGTTTTATAATGATATATCTATTTTGTTTTAGCTGGACCGTAAATACAATTTTGATTAGAACGTCTTCTTGCTTTTTTTTGTGCTAAAAAATCGGTTCGTTTTTTCCCCGCAATTATAACTTTTTTGTTTGAATTTCATCGTTGCTACTACTAAGTAGTGATCGCTGTCAGTATCAGCTCTGCTCTTCACTATTAAGTCTGTGTGTGTGTGTGGGGGGGGGGGGGGGAATATTTCCTATTTATTGTTGATTAGAACGTGGTGGATTTGATTTTTTGCTTACACACCTGGTAATATCTATTTGTTTATATGAATGCGCCTCAAATTATGTACCTCAAATTGTCAGTTTGTATTCTCCGCAAAGACTAATTAATTTTTCTCCATTTGAGTTTAATAATTCCTAAGCCTTCCTTCCCCCATAATTGCTTCTCTGTGTTCTCTGTTGTTTCCAGCTTTAGTGTTTAAGTCATCTATGACCAATACGACAATGTGGTAAGACACTGTGTCTAAACTGCTTGTTAACTGTAACCTTTCTGAAAACAGATATTGAAGTCTAAAACACAAACTGGTATCGAATCTTGCCACCAGACTTTTTACCTCAATGAACAAGTGTAAACAAATTGTTTTGGATCACAGAATTTATTTGCTGTAACAATTTATTTTCGTTGTTAAAATAATAGATCACAAAATGTAATTGCCAGAACAATTTACATTTTCTTCAACAGGAAAAAAAAGGCACACAAATAGAACTCCTTTAGATGTTGGTAATGATAAAAAATATGTGAAAATCTTAATAAATTCAAGAATTTACAACAAAAAAATAATAATTAAAAAACAGGAATCCAAAGTAATGTTCAACATTTAAAAGGAAAAAGTCAGAAAAATTTAAAAATATATAAAGATCACAGAGATTTGTTTTTGATATTATGTACAGTTGAGGTATATTTTACTAGTTTATTTGTAGAAACAAATAGTATTTTCAGTTATTTAATGAAGCTTGAGGAATGTATGTTTTGTTATAATTTTTAAACACAATAAGTTTTTTTTTTTGATATTCTCATTTTGGCATTCCGTTTTATGATTGACGTTCTGCAATGTATATCTAATTAGTAGACACGCCAAAATAGAGCCCATTATATTTTTGTAACACACAGCTTGTATTAGCCAACTAAATGTCAGTAGCAATATTTATTAAGTTCTTTTTGTCGATAAACATTTCCTACTAAGACCGTGTCTTAACAAATCCAGCATAAATTATAAAAAATATATTTAAAAAATAAAACCGGTACAATTTACTTCGTAAAAAATATTAATTTTTGTTTTAAGATAGAGCGCAAAAACAACTAAATATAGCTTCATATATTGTAGACTTCAGTACCTTAAAAAATCTGACATGAACAATGTTAAATTACGATTTCACGACGTTTACAAAAAAAAAAAAAGAAAGCTAAGATACCTAAATATTTTTTAGACTTCAATGCCTCTATAAATCTGCGTCATTAACAAAATTTAACTTAAATTTTCATACATAAATAAAGGCTAAGATACCCTAATATTTTGTAGACCAAAGTCCCTATGTAAAAATAGGAGACATTAAAAAAAAATGCTAAGGTACCCCCAATATTTAGTAGAAATCAAGTCCCTGAATTACATTTCTTGTGCACATTGAGCGATTAAAAACATTTTGCTTTGAGTAATCCTTGTCGACTGGTCTTTAAAGTTTTGTTTCGGTCCATCAGTTCAAGTTTTGACTTATCCAGTCTAAATAGTACGGCACGTTGGTGTATATCCCGGGCTCGCCAGCCTTGGCGCATCTGTAGGCATTGGAGACGATACCGTAAACAAAGTAGGCTGGTCCATTTACCGAACTTTGAAGACACATGAGGGGCCCACCGGAATCACCCTAAGACATTTATAACCACATATTAGTTTTCAAACCAAATCCTTTTTTTTCAAACAAAAAAAAAAAAAAGAAAAGAAAAAAACGCGCCAAATATAAAAAGTGATGAATATTAAAATATAAATTAAACAAATGTAAATTAAACTACTATAGCTCTAATAATCTATCGGCAATTTATTTTTGCAAGAAATGTTTCACCTAAATCACCAAATCTTAAAAATACTTCGCATTTCATTAAAATCAATTTTTTTAATATGTTTGTCTTAGGCCGAATTATCTCGCTTATTTAACTAGGATAGCATTTTCACAACTTATATATTGAATCTCAGGACCATGGAAATATTTTGCGGTTTGGAAATAGTGGCGTGTTGTGACTTTATAGTAGGGCGTGGTTGAATGGTAATCATAAAACATATCTCTTACATTACAGGCATCCTTCCCTCCAGAGGTTCCATTTGCCGCACAAATGGTACCGTCGTTCAAGATGGTAGACAGGATCCCAGGCGGCTGGGCCGTCTGGTTAAAGATCTTCAGGCACTGGGTCGAGTTGTAGACATCCAGTTCCGTCTTCATCAGCACTTCCGGGCTCTGGTCGGCTGAAAGTACCACACGTGTTATGTAATCGTAGGTGTAATTTTATTTGTCGTGTTTATGTCTTAATTTCGATAGTTTTGATTTTGATGGAAAACAAAAGCAGAGCAAATTCGATGGCATTCTCGAAAATTAATAGTAACAAACTGTGCCTACAATTGTTATGATATATGATAAAATTGAATAAATTGAAATTTACGTTTTCTAGCAAAATAGTAGTTAAAAGGTAGTTTAACAGTGGCGGGCGATGGGGGGGGGGGGGGGGGGGGAAGGTGGGGGGGAGAGGGAGAGGGAGGAGGGCTGAGTCGACCGCAGCCCTCGACACTCGATTTTTTCGGCATCCCCGTTTTCAAAAACATTATTATATAATAGGGAAACTCCAAAATTTCCATCCAGGCCCCCCCCCCCCCTACGTTTAAACCATATGTAAGTTCTTAGACCTGTACAGTTTATCTGGGTTAATGTAGCCCCAACCAGCCCCCCCCTCCCATGATTAAACCATCCCTGTAGATAACCGTGTAAGTTCTTAGACCCGTAGAGTTTACCTGAGTTAATGTAGCCCCCACCAGCCCCCCCCCCCCCCCCCCCATCTCTGTAGATAACCGTGTATGTTCTTAGAGCCGTAGAGTTTACCTGAGTTAATGTTGCCCCAACCCCCCTCCCATCTCTGTAGATAACCGTGTATGTTCTTAGAGCCGTAGAGTTTACCTGAGTTAATGTAGCCCCAACCCCCCCCCATCTCTGTAGATAACCGTGTATGTTCTTAGAGCCGTAGAGTTTACCTGAGTTAATGTAGCCCCAACCACCCCCCCCCATCTCTGTAGATAACCGTGTATGTTCTTAGAGCCGTAGAGTTTACCTGAGTTAATGTAGCCCCAACCACCCTCCCATCTCTGTAGATAACCGTGTAAGTTCTTAGACCCGTAGAGTTTACCTGAGTTAATGTAGCCCCAACCACCCCCCCATCTCTGTAGGTAACCGTGTATGTTCTTAGAGCCGTAGAGTTTACCTGAGTTAATGTAGCCCCAACCACCCCCCCCCCATCTCTGTAGATAACCGTGTATGTTCTTAGAGCCGTAGAGTTTACCTGAGTTAATGTAGCCCCAACCACCCCCCCCATCTCTGTAGATAACCGTGTAAGTCCTAAGACCCGTAGAGTTTACCTGAGTTAATGTAGCCCCAACCACCACCCCCCTCCCATCTCTGTAGATAACCGTGTATGTTCTTAGAGCCGTAGAGTTTACCTGAGTTAATGTAGCCCCAACCACCCCCGTCCCATCTCTGTAGATAACCGTGTAAGTCCTAAGACCCGTAGAGTTTACCTGAGTTAATGTAGCCCCAACCACCCCCCTCCCATCTCTGTAGATAACCGTGTAAGTTCTTAGAGCCGTAGAGTTTACCTGAGTTAATGTAGCCCCAACCACCCTCCCATCTCTGTAGATAACCGTGTATGTTCTTAGAGCCGTAGAGTTTACCTGAGTTAATGTAGCCCCAACCACCCTCCCATCTCTGTAGATAACCGTGTATGTTCTTAGAGCCGTAGAGTTTACCTGAGTTAATGTAGCCCCAACCAGCTCCCCCCTCCCATCTATGTAGATAACCGTGTAAGTTCTTAGACCCGTAGAGTTTACCTGAGTTAATTTAGCCCCAACCATCTATGTAGATAACCGTGTAAGTTCTAAGACCCGTAGAGTTTACCTGAGTTAATGTAGCCCCAACCATCTACGTAGATAACCGTGTAAGTTCTAAGACCCGTAGAGTTTACCTGAGTTAATGTAGCCCCAACCATCTATGTAGATAACCGTGTAAGTCCTTAGACCCGTAGAGTTTACCTGAGTTAATGTAGCCCCAACCATCTCTGTAGATAACCGTGTAAGTCCTTAGACCTGTAGAGTTTACCTGAGTTAATGTAGCCCCAACCATCTCTGTAGATAACCGTGTAAGTCCTTAGACCCGTAGAGTTTACCTGAGTTAATGTAGCCCCAACCATCTCTGTAGATAACCGTGTAAGTTCTAAGACCCGTAGAGTTTACCTGAGTTAATGTAGCCCCAACCAGCGACCGTACACCTGGCCTCTGCCTTGTCTTGAGGTCGAGGTAAACAGGCAAAGTTCACGTACTCGGACCATTGGAGTGGCGACTCTAGGGTTATCATCGCTATATCGTTACCTGTAGTGGGTCACAAAATGATTAAAACAAATTCATCTTCAATACTTACTCATTCATATACTTTTGTTTTTACTAAAATTATATACTTTGTTAAAAGCAAAGGACAGTATATTTCTCCTTTTAAAACGTGTGGCCCACGGAGCAGGTTAAGTAGATTTCACAAGTTTCGGTTAACTCGGCATATGAAGAGATCGTGTGGACAGCATTATTCACTGCTGCCTTTACTCTCCCTAACGTGAGTCAGGTACCCATCAGAGCTGGATGGACACAGGGACGTGCTGCGACTCTTACCAGGGACACGAACTCGAGACATTCGATTAGGAGTTGAACCCTCTACGATTCGACCATAGAAACTTTATTATACCAGTCATTTACTTTCTTTCCATAACCATATTCTTATTAAACTATTCATTTATTATATTTACCCATGTATATACTTTATTTCATCAGTCAGAATTTTCTCTGTTAATTACGTTGTGACTATCAGTTTAGTATTGTTACAGTCTTCTATTGTTTTTAACTAGCCCTCCACTGTATTCCATCAATCAGTAATCACATTTTTTTTTATTCAGTTACTGCATGTTCCCCGGTCATCACAAAATGTACAACGTAGTTGTTCATTTTCAGACCTAAACGACTTACCCGAGCGTGTTTCCCTGTAGTCCGGGTGTTTTTTAAAGGATTTGATACGATAACTCTGCGCACCGACTTCTGTGACGTCATGGGTACTTTTGTGTTTACCCACCAAAACTTCGAATTTTTCTGGGTCGCTATAATAGAGATTAGTGAGTGGGAATAGAAATAGAACTAAAAAATAACACACTTAAGAAACAACAAACAAATAACAAGCCAAATAAGAAGGAATAAGAAGAAAGAGTAAACAAAAAATAAACAAACGAGTAACGAACAATAAACGAAGATACAATTTTCCCGGCCTAAACTATTACTAATTACTTTGAAAAACAACATAAATATTATTGAACTGCCGGGTTTTTAACGGAATCATTTAATTCTCTTAATCAGTGTGTGCATTAAATATGGTGTTGTGTTGACTAATAATGTATATGATTTGGTTCTTCTAATAGGTATTTGTAGCCTTTGTTTTTTTTTAATATGTTGGATTTTTAGCTATTTAGTTATTTTTTTTTGCTTTGTCACTAATATCATTCAACGAGTAGTAAAGCACATTTTTGTGTCTGGTTGTGTCTGTTTGTGTCTGGTTGTGTCTGGTTGTCTGCCTGGTTGTGTCTGGTTGTGTCTGGTTGTCTGTCTGGTTGTGTCTGGTTGTGTCTGGTTGTCTGTATGTTTGTGTCTGGTTGTCTGTCTGGTTGTGTCTGGTTGTCTGTCTGTTTGTGTCTGGTTGTGTCAGGTTGTGTCTGGTTGTCTGTCTGGTTGTGTCTGGTTGTCTGTCTGGATGTGTCTGGTTGTCTGTCTGGTTGTGTCTGGTTGTCTGTCTGTTTGTGTCTGGTTGTCTGTCTGGTTGTGTCTGGTTGTCTGTCTGATTGTTTCAGGTTGTGTCTGGTTGTGTCTGGATGTGTCTGGTTGTCTGTCTGGTTGTGTCTGGTTGTCTGTCTGGTTGTGTCTGGTTGTGTCTGGTTGTGTCTGGTTGTGTCTGGTTGTGTCTGGTTGTGTGTCTGTTTGTGTCTGGTTGTCTGTCTGATTGTGTCTGGTTGTGTCTGGTTGTGTCTGGTTGTCTGTCTGTTTGTGTCTGGTTGTCTGTCTGGTTGTGTCTGGATGTGTGTCTGGTTGTCTGTCTGGTTGTGTCTGGTTGTGTCTGGTTGTGTCTGGTTGTCTGCCTGGTTGTGTCTGGTTGTGTCAGGTTGTGTCTGGTTGTGTCTGGTTGTCTGTCTGGATGTGTCTGGTTGTCTGTCTGGTTGTGTCTGGTTGTGTCTGGTTGTGTCTGGTTGTGTCTGGTTGTGTCTGGTTGTGTCTGGTTGTCTGTCTGGATGTGTCTGGTTGTCTGTCTGGTTGTGTCTGTTTGTGTCTGGTTGTCTGTCTGATTGTCTGTCTGGTTGTCTGTCTGGTTGTGTCTGGTTGTGTCTGGTTGTGTCTGGTTGTGTCTGGTTGTGTCTGGTTGTGTCTGGTTGTGTCTGGTTGTGTCTGGTTGTCTGTCTGGATGTGTCTGGTTGTCTGCCTGGTTGTGTCTGGTTGTCTGTCTGGTTGTGTCTGGTTGTGTCTGGTTGTGTCTGGTTGTCTGTCTGGTTGTATGTCTGGTTGTCTGTCTGGTTGTGTCTGGTTGTGTCCTGTTGTCTGCCTGGTTGTGTGGTTGTGTCTGTTTGTGTCTGGTTGTGTCTGGTTGTGTCTGTTTGTCTGTCTGGTTGTATGTCTGGTTGTCTGTCTGGTTGTGTCTGGTTGTGTCTGGTTGTCTGTCTGGTTGTCTGTCTGGTTGTGTCTGGTTGTCTGTCTGGTTGTCTGTCTGGTTGTCTGTCTGGTTGTCTGTCTGGTTGTCTGTCTGGTTGTCTGTCTGGTTGTGTCAGGTTGTGTCTGGTTGTGTCTGGTTGTCTGCCTGGTTGTGTCTGGTTGTCTGTCTGGTTGTGTCTGGTTGTGTCTGTTTGTGTCTGGTTGTCTGTCTGGTTGTGTCTGGTTGTGTCTGGTTGTGTCTGGTTGTCTGTCTGGATGTGTCTGGTTGTCTGTCTGGTTGTGTCTGGTTGTCTGTCTGTTTGTGTCTGGTTGTGTCTGGTTGTCTGCCTGGTTGTGTCTGGTTGTGTCAGGTTGTGTCTGATTGTGTCAGGTTGTGTCTGGTTGTGTCTGGTTGTGTCTGGTTGTCTGTCTGATTGTGTCAGGTTGTGTCTGGTTGTGTCTGGTTGTCTGTCTGTTTGTGTCTGGTTGTGTCTGTTTGTCTGTCTGGTTGTATGTCTGGTTGTCTGTCTGGTTGTGTCTGGTTGTGTCTGGTTGTCTGTCTGGTTGTCTGTCTGGTTGTGTCTGGTTGTCTGTCTGGTTGTGTCTGGCTGTCTGTCTGGTTGTCTGTGTGGTTGTCTGTCTGGTTGTCTGTCTGGTTGTCTGTCTGGTTGTCTGTCTGGTTGTCTGTCTGGTTGTGTCAGGTTGTGTCTGGTTGTGTCTGGTTGTCTGTCTGTTTGTGTCTGGTTGTCTGTCTGGATGTGTCTGGTTGTCTGTCTGGTTGTGTCTGGTTGTCTGTCTGGTTGTGTCTGTTTGTGTCTGGTTGTCTGTCTGTCTGGTTGTCTGTCTGGTTGTGTCTGGTTGTGTCTGGTTGTGTCTGGTTGTGTCTGGTTGTGTCTGGTTGTGTCTGGTTGTCTGTCTGATTGTGTCAGGTTGTGTTTTGTTGTGTCTGGTTGTGATCGCATCTTTAACTCAACGTTGACTCATTTCTAATGGTGCGATGTTTGTTTCAACTTTACCAGATAAGAGCATCTCCTCAATAATAACTCACCTTCAGTTCAATGTGATTCTACATTAGTCATTAAAAATTAATGATTACTACGCTCAGTAACAAAAAAAGGGGTGGGGGAGGGTGATATCAATGTGAAAATAAACCGGGAGGACTAAGTCAAAATGTTGCGTAGGATTTAAACGAGAAAGGGGGGGGGGGGGTTTGACTGGGAGGTAATTCGCGCTACAGGTTACTACTCCCTCATACAGAAAGTCAGCTCACGCGCATTGGTACAGGCAGTAAAAAAAGGCAAAAACAGTAACACAAGATCAACTCACGTGTAAAGACAGTGAGCAGCGGTCAGGACATGCATCTGGTCTAGAATGATGCCGCTGCATGGTAACTTCCCTTCGGCCCAGAGCATGGCGAGCCAGGGGAACTCCCCCCTTCTTGTGGTGTTACCCCCGTATATCCTGGAGACCACCGGCACAACACCGTTACTGCAGGTTCTCTCTGTGGAGACATGGACGGGGTTTTATTTTGAAATAAAGTTTATATTAAGGTTAGATAAAACATATAGCCCCGTCCTGGTGTGATAAGGCATCTTACACAACTTTATAGAAAGGTTACTGCAGGTTCTCTCTGTGAAGACGGAAACATGGACGGGGTTTTATTTTGAAATAAAGTTTTATATTAAGGTTAGATATAGCATATAGCCCCGTTCTGGTTTGATAAAGCACCTAACACAACTTTATAGAAAGGTTACTGCAGGTTTTCTCTGTGGAGACGAAAACATGGACGGGGTTTTATTTTGAAATAAAGTTTTTTTTTATTAAGGTTAGATATAGCCCCGTTCTTGTTTGATAAAGCACCTAACACAACTTTATAGAAAGGGTCAGGATAAATCCCGGTCGAGATGTGGAGAAATAGGTGAGATGGAAAGTTTTTGGGTTAAGGTGACCGATAACTAGTAATACCGGACATGGTATATCAAGAAATCTACAAAGATCAAGAAAAAAAATTGCATAAAAAACGGTTTAATAACAAGCTTTTAAGTAATAATGCACTAAAAAGGAGAAAATAAATGATTCTCTTTAAATATATAATAATACTTAATTAACCATAAAGAAAAGCGTGAGCTCTATATAATATTTAAGAGGCGATCCACGCTTTTCTTTATAATTATTTAAATAGTAGTTTTATAATATATTCATTGAAAATCATTTATTTTCTCCTTATTAGTGCATTATTACATTAAAGCTTGTTATTAAAATGTTTTTAAGCAATTTTTTCCTATTCCACCCCCCCCCCCCCTTTTCTAATAATTTTCATCTAATTCGAAATCTTCGCATTTCTAGCTACATTGGGATTTGTCCTGTACTGCTGTGTAAGTTACGTATTAAAAAGATAAAGTGGTTTCATAAAGTTTGACATGGTGTCCACTAACTCCTGGTTCTTTAATAAAAGCATTGGTCGTTAAAATGTGTATCATTTTTCATGCGCGAAACATAGATATTTCATCTCTTGGTATATGGTAAATTATATTATCCTTTGGTGGATAGGGTCCCCCCCCCTAAAGGCTGATATTATTTAGCCCAGGTTTTATCTATTGTCATTTTGTGGTTGATTTCAGTCAACCAATGATCGACTTACCTGGACAACACATGACTCGAATAGAGAAAGCGACGGTGGTGATGAGGCAAGACTGGGTTATGTACAGCTCTGGACATTTGTTTACAAATAGACAATCTGTGGACATTGTAAAAGTACATCAGGTTCTGTATTTTTGTAGTTCTTGAATTAGCCTAGACATCACACAGAGACATTGAACTTGTAGGCTATTCGGTTTAGAGCGACGATGGATATGATGAAACAATATCAGACGTATGTTTTGGTATGTGTTGTGGCGCGGGTACGGGTCTAAGGACGGCCAAGTTCTAGACCTTTTACTGTCAGCCCGAAAGCTTCGAATTTGATCCCGCATCTTGAATATCAAGGTCTTCACTGAGTCAACCCAGCTGTAATGGGTATCTGACTCGGGTTAGGGAAACTAGGGTGGCCGGGTTTAGCACTGAGCTAATTGAAACAGATTAACTCTATTTATCTGCCCCATGTGTCTAGGGCACAAACTCAGTGTTTCTTTCAGCCTTTTTTTCTCTAGGGGGTAGGGGGCACTTGATATTTTCGGGGGGGGGGGGGGGGCGGGCTAAATTTTCTGGGGAGGGGGACACTTGTAAAAGTATATATTTTCGATATAAATTCCTTTTCGTTCATCATTGTATTTTTATAAACGTTTGCAAAGGTTATGAAAAGCTGTGGTTTGATGCTAGTCAACTAAACCCAATGTGGTAACGTGTTACGCTTTTTCAGTTTGTAAACACAAAATACCTAAAATTCAGGTGTTTCTGAACACAAACTAAAGTTCAGAAGTTTATGAACACTAACTAAAGTTCAGAAGTTTGTGAACACAAAGTACATTAAGTTCAGAAGTTTATGAACACTAACTTCAGAAGTTTTTGAACACCAACTAAAGTTCAGACGTTTATGGACACTAAATTTCAGAAGTTTATGAACACTAACTACTCATAGTTCAGGCGTTTATGAATATCTTCGTGAATGAGTGTAGTGCGATTATGTGTCTGTTTGAATGTGTGTCTGTGTAAGAGTATGTCCTTGCTAACGTTTAAAATAACGTTAACAACCCTCCACATATCTACCTTATCTTCTGCATCGCCTAGTATCGTGAATCTCTCTCAAATGGTTTTTTATTGAAATTCACTATCATTTGCTGGGAACTTCATTTCCCCACTATTTTACTTATAAAAAGGACGGGCATAGCCTTATATTCAAGTTCTGCTACACTCTGGTCAGCATTCACTCCCACGACCTTTAACCCTTCACTAACAATAAATAAATAAATTTTACACCCCTAACACCGTACACACCACAATAACCATCGCGTTCAGTGAGTACTCCAACAACTTCAGCCGTGTACACTCGTGTTTAAAATTATAAATGTGGAGATAACCCGAGCTTAAAATAAGACCCCCCCCCCTCCTCTCAATGTTACAACTGACACACACACAGATATATATATATATATATATATATATATATATATATATATATATATATATATATATATATATATATATATATATATATATATATATCTATTCTAAAGTGGACGTCATTCCGTAATTCCTCACACTCGCCAATGACTCCAATCGTGACATTCACCACGACCTATATTTCATCTATAATTAAGTGGGCGTAACATGGAGGCTGTTTGGCAAAGTGGGCTTAAAATCATCAAAATGCAGGTGAGAAGCATCTCCCACCCAGGTGCTACCCGCACTGGAGGGTATACGTGACTAAAAATAGAAACACCTGAACGACTTCCGGGTCGCTAGTTGACGATTAGTTCGTCTATGGGCTACATTTCAAGGGGAGAGAATCACAACTTACAAAGGGACATTACTTTGTTTGTCAGAAATCAAATACGCGGTGTCGGGTAGGGTAAAGACTGATCAGGTGAAAATAATCTAACGGTTTCTATGACTAATTCGCCAGAAGGACCTAAGTAGAATATGTAGTTATAAAAACAGTTTAGGTCCCAAAATATAGAGTTTTTTTTACACGACCTGTTCAGACTCCACTTAATCCACTACTGGTGGATGAAATAATAGTGGGCGGGGGAGGGGGGGGGGGGGCTAACTTACGATTTATTTTGTAATTAACCACATACCAGTAAAATAATAAAATATAAATGCTTTATTATTAAGTGTTACAGTTATCCCATAATCACGTGATGCTACACAGTGACAAATCTAATCTTAATCGCTTACTATATATATATATATATATATATATATATATATATATATATATATATATATATATATATATATATATATATATATATATATATATATATATATATAATATATCTGTACTCACATTTCTGTAAGTATCCGTTGGAAAGGTCCTCCAACATTTTATCCCCTAGCACGTCACAAGAGGAGATCAAAAAGCGCCAGTAAGATGCCACAAACAACTTGTAGTTGGAGCCCAGGACGTACCGGAGGTCGTCGATGGACCTGGCCGTCTCCACCTTGGTCAAGGCGTGTACATTGGTACACACCAGGAGTGCGTACACGGTCAAGGTGACTAGTCTGGTGGTCATTGTTGGGGGTGTGAAACTGAGATCGGGGGTCCGAAAGATTCTTTCGTCTCGTAGGTTTAGGAATGCTGCCCTAAGCAGTTGGATGCTGTTGAACACTGTTGGACTCGAATGGATGGTGCCGAAACTGTTGGATGGTACTGCAAGCTACCAATGTAGACAGGTACGGTTGGATACGGTTGGATGCGGTTGTAAGCTGTTGGTTGCTGCCGTAGATATTTTTTCTTGTCTTAGATAACCAAACTCTGTACACCTGCTGGCTAAAGCGGTTGTTAGTTGGATGTTTGATCAACTTGGACACATAGTGTCGGTGAGTTCAAATATCGCTTGTGCTGAAAGTTTCCTATCTTTACATCTGAAACAGAATGGTGAAAGTAATCTAGTATTAAACGAATACCAAATCTTCTTGCTTATTGGCTGTAACACACATTTATTTACTTTAAGTCGGCCACATACGTATTGCGAACAAAAGGCAAACATTATGATGATTTACTTTAAGTAAAAGATATTGAAACACAGTGACAGCGTATGCTTTATGGTTTAAAATACGTTGAGTGTGCACGGCCTTTCCTTCTATTCTATGTTGTCAATAATTTTAAAATAATAATGAAATTTGGACAGAATCACAATCTATTAACAGCTTTAACGGCTATTTTTCTTTTACTTACGATATATATATATATATATATATATATATATATATATATATATATATATATATATATATATATATATATATATATATATATAATATGAACAAAATCATCTCAAATACATTACATATTTTACTGTGAGATATTTTGTCTGATATTTTGTCCTTGAGATCATTTGTCCTTGAAATCAAAATTGTCCTGAGATCATTTGTCCCGAGATAAGTTGTCCGTGAGGTATTTTGTCCGGGATATTTTTTTCAGAGATATTTTGTCCTGAGATAATTTGTCCTGTCACCATACATATATTTTATTTAAATATATATTTTGCAGTAAAAGTATAATAAGAAAAAGGTGATTTAGAAACCTCCACTAATCCTTCATTTGAAAACGAAACACTTAAGAAAACTAGTCCTGACCAGCATCAACTTACTCCAATAGATCCAATAGTTCAAATAGATCCAATAGACCCAATAGATCCTACACCTGTGACCAAAACATTCCAACTGCCGCTACACCTGTCGTTAGCCAGGATGTAAACTGTCCCAGATTTGTCACATCTTTCATCTTTGGGAATTTTTCTTGCGCATGCGTATTATGATTTAAGCCGTTTTAAATCAAATTATTGTAGATATAGCGGCTGTTCTATAAATATTGAAAACGGAAGATTTGTACGGTGTGGGTTTCATTATATTCTTTGATGGGAATTTTTCCGTCTATTTATAGACATGATTCTGTTTTAAATTAATCATCGAAAATTAAGATTGAGTGACAAAGTTCTCATTTGTTTTAAATGTGCATATTAAAAAACATATTTTAAAATCACACTTTACAAAATAGCTGTTTGATTAATTAATACCAGGTTGATGCTTAATTTTAGGAGGGACTATGATGAAATGCTCCTTTTTTATAAGTCAACATTTAAAAAGAAAATAACACATGCATATCATTTGTATATATGTTTAATACACTTTAATATTTTTTTTACAATTTTTAAAATCGTTAGGGGAGACAACTTATTAATAAAATCGTTTAGAGGATAATGTTCAATTTTTACATGCAATTTTTATAAAACTTTATGCCAGAAACTTCTTGTAATTTCAACTCCAGATATAAAAATAGATATTTCAAAAAACTTTTTCAGTTATGAATTTTTTTTTAATGACCTACCAAATTCAAGCATAAAGTGATGACAAAAATAGGTTAAACTAGAATACCCGTCATCCCTTGGATAACTGTGGGTTTCGGGGGTCATCCATCAAAAAACATCACGTCTGTCACTCAGAGGCATAGCGAGCCTTCCCGGCGCCCGGGGACAAACTTTTCGATTTTAACCCCCCCCCCCCCAAGATTTCGATTTTCAACCCCCCCCCCTCAAACTTTTGATGTGCACCCCCCTCCCCCCCCCCCCCCCACTCAAACTTTCGATTTGAACCCCCCTCAACCTTTCAATTTATTTTTCCAAACCATTTTGGCGCCCCAACATACGTCCCCCCCGCCCCCCCCCCCCCTTCACCCCCCCGCCTCCCCTCCCCCCCGCCTCCCCTTTCCCCCCCCCCCCCGCCTCCCCTCCCCCCCCCCGCCTCCCCACCCGCCCCCCCCCCCCCCCTCCTCGCTACGCTACTGCAGTGTCACTTATCGTCACAAAAACAGAGCCCACATTCAAAAATATGTTTCTTATCTTTTAAAAACACCGAAAACACCGATTTCGGACTATCCCTTCATATACTGACGTCACATGTGACCTACTCAACTCTACTTCACCTGCCCAGTGTCCCGCCAAGTCTCAGACAACATGTTTTTATCGTTTAAAAAACGATTCCAGCCGAGCATGTATCTGACCACACTATCCTTTCATATGATTAGGACAAAGAAACAGATGAACTCTACTTCACCTGCCCTGTATCCTGCCAAGTTCAGATAGGCAACTTTATCATTAACATCTAAAAAAAAAAAAAAATTGAAAAAAAAAATCATTTTTTATCATTAACATCTAAAAAAAAAAAAATTGAAAAAAAATATCATTGACATATTGGTCTAGAACCTGTACCACTCGCATGAGAGCGGACTACGCTACAAACTTAGCTATTTACTCCTGACGTCACAAATGAATTTTTATACTATACTTTGATGCAACTTGATTTCGAGCGTCTAGTCTAGAAGTAGTAACTTTCAAATTAAATTTTATCTTAAATTAGCCAAACAAAGATTTATATAAAATAATTAAGGCCTGAAATAGATTCTAGATGTATTAAGGCCTGAAATAGATTCTAGATGTAGAATTTACATTAAGTCTAGATTTAGAATTTACATTGAGTTTAGTGATCTAGATCTAGGCTAGATTCATAAATTTCCTTCGACAGCTGATCTTTAGATCTAGAGAAATTTATTGTAAAACTAAATGAAAAAAGACAGTTGAAAATTGATATAAGTGTTGGAACGTAATAAATACAGCAAACGGACGTATTGTTAAAGTTATGACCGACAGAAAATTAGATTTAGAACGCGTTAAAGTTTGGAATGGGAACACAATTTTCTTCGATAGACGCCGCCATTTTATTGTACTAAAGAGTCAACAAAAAAACTCTGACGTCACTATCAAGGGACGTCACTATCCCCACAAAGTTTATTCAAAGTATTAACATTTTTTAAAAAATACGGTTAATTTAACAATGAATAAATCAATAAATTAATTAACGTCTTTAAATAAATTTGTGATTAACAGTCTGTCTGCATTAAAAAATTATTCTCTACCTACATACTATTTTACAGCTCTCCAGATAGAGCCGAACATATCAGGATACTTGATCAGGCAAACAAACAAACAAACAAAAAAATAAATATTCAAACATGTAAACAAACTTGACTTTTAGTAGTATATAGATAAACTGGAAGTAATCTCCCCTAAACTTTCTCGAATATTCTTATTTTGAAATTTTTATAAATCTGCATTGATTATTTTTGCCCGATTAAAATAAGTCCCCTTTACTTCGTATATGATGAAGTACTGAGGTGTAAAACGATGAAATGTGTAAGAATTTCATGTGATTTTTGTTCACGATTACAATACTTCCTCTATACTCTGTATACGAGAAAGTAAAAAAAAAATTAAAATCTCAAATATTTCTCTATGGTTTTCTGCATTGATATGATATGAAGCTTCATATGGTATGTATGTCTTTATTTTTAAAAAAATGTCGGTGGGGTGGGTTGATGGAGTATGGACTTTTAATTAGAGCTGAAATAAATTTAGGAGTAAAGAAAAATAATAATAAAGATATTATCAGCAGTCGGGGTGATATGTTGAATACGACGGGGAGAGTTTCTTCCAGGCATCTCTTCGGGGACCTACTTACACCCCCCCCCCCGAAGAAAGTCTACCCCCCCCCCCCCCCCGCGAACGAGATGGAATTTATATAGTAAACATACACTTTTACTAGTGTCCGCCCCACCTGAAAAATATTGACCGCCCCCCCCCCCCCTCAAAAAAAAATATCAAGTGCACCCCCCCCCCCCCCGGAGAAAAAAGTCTGGAAGAAACACTGACGACGGGACCCATCAAATCAAAGACTGTTCTTAAACATTCATCTTGTAATACATTAGAGGTGGTTGGCCTGAAAGTCGGTCGGTGCTCCAGTGTCTAGGGGTCTGCCGTCGAGCAAACGATAATTATCGTCTAATGTCGCTAGGTTCAATACACGGTCTTGTCTTAGCTGCAAGGTGTTGTGTTACAATAGGGCTGGTAAGTAGGTCACCAACCAGTTCTACGGCTCAATAAAACCTGCATGAGCCATAGAACTGGATGGTGACCTACTTACCAGCCCTATTGTAACACAACACCTTGCAGCTAAGACAAGACCGTGTATTGAACCTAGCGACATTTGCTTAAAAATAGCCTCGATATCGCTACGGGGTCATCCATAAATGACGTCACACTCGTATGGAGGAGGGGGGTCTGTAATTTTGTGACGGTGTGTGATGAGGGGGAGGGGGGGGTTTCAGATGGTGCGACGTCACACTTTTGCATTATAAAAAAGCAATGTTAGAAAACAAATTTTAGGCGTTATTTCGCGTTTTAGAAAACTGTTTTAATAAATTGTAATAGGAATTGATTAAAATACTATATTTTGACAGAGTTCAGACAAGATTTTAGAAAAATATCGATGTTTTAAAAAAAAATCAATTGCAATTTTGAAGGGGGTTTTAGGGTGAGGTGTGACGTGATTTTAGAGGGAGGGGTCTGGCTTTTTGTGACGACGTGTGACGGAGGGGAGGGGGGGAGGTAAAAATCATTTAAAAAGCGTGACGTCATTTATGGATAACCCCTTTGCCTGCAACGCTTTCCGTGGATTC